AAATAAATTTTAAATATAGCCCCTTGGGCTACAGTAAGCGACAAGAACGTGAAATGTAAACAAAGCAGAAACTGTGTAAACAAAGGAGAAGATCACATCAAAGTCATTTCTAGCCCACCAACGCGCAAGGAAATGATGGAAATTTCAAATCTAAATAGGTATTGCTATCTGAAAAGCTAAAAAGGCGAAATTGTCCGTCGAAAAATATAAGAAGAAAAAAAATTCCTGAAACTGATGAAGAGCAACTGAGAATCGCCGTCGAGTAACCATTTAATCCTGAACTTGAAAGTAAAAATGCTTCCGGCTGGTCAAGTCCAAAAGCCTTCAAGAACTGTTTTCGAAATGCCCCAATAAACTATCGACAAACTATGTCAGATGATAGATTTACTTTAGTAAAAATGAACATAACAAGAAGTCGGAATCATGATTACAAATAACACTTCTACTGACAAAATGAGTTTAAAAAACGCATGTCCTGGATTAAGTTACCTTTCACTGCCTGTCCATTTTTTTTTCTCGTGATGCAAGGCTCTGCAGCTGATAACCTTCATAACGTGACTTAAAAACTAGCAAATAACTGAAATTTCAACATTCCGCTGATTGTAAAAAGGTTGCGGCTTACAAAAGTTGGTTCCTAAAAGAGACGTGTAACGTCATGTTACGTGTATGGTAATTTAAATGAATTACCGTGGAGCCCCTTCACGTAGTCTTCCCCAGGGTACACCTGACACATGCTATCACCTTTTAGCTCTGAAGGCGTGTGGAAAAAGTGTTAGTCTTTCGACTCATGTTGATGGCAATTTCTGCCTTCGGTGTTAATGGGGAATCCTTCTGTCTTGTCAATCCGAATTTATCCCCCCTTTTAAATTGCGAACGAGGCGTCTGAATGTCCTGGAAATACATGGCATAACCGCATCAGTGAAAATCTACCGTTGGACAAATTAAAAAAAATAACTAATCTCGCGCTGGTAAATGACAGTTGGATTAATTTTTGCTTTTGTTATTAGTTACATTAAATAAGAAGATCGCTAAAGTTGAACTGCAGTGGGAAATAGCTGGAAATACCTTGTTAAGAGAAACTAAGGAGGGGCTCGGCAGGTGCCCCTCAACGTCCAAGCCCACCTGTACTCGGGTAATTGGATCCGGTGGTTCTTGTACTCGACTTAGCAAATTCTTGAGCGATGGGATACGCCCTTTAAACTGTTTGAGTGGATTTGACTCATCAGATTACACTCATTGTTACTTTAACAGCTTATTAGAGCATGACTGACTTGAACATGCCTGGTTCGAAAATCATGGCATATTTCCATGCTCCTTCGAAAATCTGACCTACAGTGGTAAGGATTCATTTACGTCACCAAGTCTGCGATAGCAATCATGCAGAATGTTTTTGTTCAGTCAAAGCCTAGTACCCAGACCTAAAACAAAAAGAGCATACTTTCTACAGCACAACTGCTATCAGCTTTGCAACGATCCTCTATGGCCCTGTACGTTCGCAGTCTATGGAAGTTCAAATCATGCGCATTGATTCAGTGGCCCACAATGGTTAGCTAATTGTAGATTGCCTAGGACCCACATTGAAAACTCACGTTCGCAGTTTCATAAATTAAGGCCATGTTGTCAAAAATACCACTAAATTACGAGCCCTCTAGTTTCACCCGGAGAAAATGCGGTTTTGTGCGCGTAGCTTGTATGGATGTAGCTTTGTGATTGGCTGTTGTCTAATCCCCCTGGGATCTATGGTCTTAAATATAACTCGAGACGAATTACCTATGGAATAGGGTGTGTATGGGGGATGCCTTCTCTGCCCCCTTTATCCTCTCTTGATAAACGTTATTGCGTCACCAAAGATACATGTTCCTGTTAAAGCTGCAATTATACGTTTAAACCATTCAATCCGTGTTTTAATATACTGCATAGACGTAATACAGAAACCTTTAGGAGAAAGTCCACATTTTGTAAGTTTGAATATACCTTTCTTAGTAAAGGGTACAAAGAAAGTCAGTTTTATAAGCTTTATATGGTGATTGTAGCGAATGTCAGCCATACACTGATCAATTGTACTTGCAAAAATCGACTTGATTTCTCTTTACTTCCGTTTACTTTGATACCACAGTATCTTAAAAGGTTCAGTTGATCAATACAGTAAAATCCACTCTCCTTTGGCTTGTTCTCGTTGGCTTCCATGATTCCCAGATCCTTTCAGACCGTACGTCGCGTGCGTGAAGCGTGGAAGTGGGGAAAGATGTGTTCGGTCTCAGTCCCTTTCGTCCGAGTCGGCACTCAAATCCATCCCCACATCGGTCCCACGTCGGGCGAAGAAAGACTCAAATATTCCCCCCCCCGAGATGAAAACTGGGACGAAGTAACTTTCGCATTGCATTCTGGGACTCTTACTAGGGACAGCTAAAAAACAGGAAGACCTTAGATAACAATGACCTCAACCAGGTTGGGCATCTTAGAGGTTTTAGTAAAAACAAGGGTTTGGGCGGGGTGTTTAAAATGACGCAAATTTTAGAACATTTAGTCAGTAATCCGACGCCGTGAAGTTTCAAACTGGTGTCATTTCAGTCTAGAAATTTTAAAATTGAGTGAACTGCAGCGAAAAGGTGCCTGGTTAAGGCTTACATAACAACTTAAACACTACTTTTTTCGCGGTCCGATAAACGACAGTGTTTCGCATGGAATAGACAACAAACTGAATGAAACATAGTACACCAATTATCACCTTCTTATCTGCAAAAAGCGGCCTTTGGTTCAAAGCCGTTAGGGCCCGCTGAAACTACCTTAGATCCAATTTTCGTGAGTCGAGAGTTGCCACAATATCACACACTTTCGTGGCACTGATAAGACTATCAACAACCACGCATAATCTTCTGACGTTTAACACAAGTGAAATATCATCGAATAACTCGTAAAAACTAAGCCTATTGGCAGATAAACACCTCTGAACTTTTCTTTCCCACTCGTCTAATTCAAGTTCCCGGATGTACAATTACACGGTCGGCAGACCAGCCTAGACCATGGGCGCGATCCATTCAACTAAAATTTCGGTCGAAAACGTAATGGATCGGTTCTGTCCAACCGAAAAAGTTTCGAAAAAACGGGTCCTCCTTTTTTCCCAGTCGGACCGGTTGGAATTTTGGTTGAATGGATCGCGCCCCTTGTTTTCACACCGGAAAAACACGAAGTCTTGCGCTGGGTCAAAGTTCACCTGCAATGTTAATCTCGCCTAATTCAGTTTACTCCCAAGAGCCTGGACTTAGTGGTCACCTTAGAAAAGCGAACAGTATCGTATCGTTCTGTAGGCAAACTAAATAAGCGCCCCATCGATCAAGCACTTTCCTTCCAATGAGCGCCCCTCCCTCGTGTCGAAATTTTAAATAAGAGCCCCTGGGAGCTTATTCGTATTAGATTAAGGCTATGTTAACCCTCTACTGGATGGCTTTTACGCATGAGCGGAAACCATGCCGGATAGGGCTTCTGTTCGCACATAATCCTGACCCTGTTTTCATACACATGGACATCCACTTTATAATCAATTGACAGCTGTCAAAAAGGTATCCGCTGACCAGTGTCATCTAACTGTATCGCGGGCTCAGGTGTACAATTCGAGGTGACGTATTTTTTAAGTTATCCGCTGACCAGTTTTTGGTTTCAAATTGATCACAGGCTCAGGTCCGTTTTTTAAAAGGTGGCATTAAGTTTGCTTTCTGCTTACAGCAAGAGTTGAATTACTTGAGAAAGGCACTATTAAACATCCCTCAAGAGCTTCGCTTTTGACCTTGGCTAAATATATTACTTAAGGCTGTCCCCTGGGTATTTGTTGTAAAGCCTAAGTCGTATGCAAATGTTGGCTCCGTTCCTCTTGCTTGCATAATTTTAATTGAAGTCAATTAAAACCGACTTTGAAGGCACATTGAAATAGCACTAGTTAGCAATGATTTCACAGAGGTTCACGACTTTTTCTTTCAAAGAAATGAGCAAATGCATGCGCTCCTGGCAAATATGCTAGAGAGGAGTCTATCGTAATGAGCCACGTTCAATGTCTTCACAATCACAGGTCCTTTTAATAAATTTATGTACTGGACGGCGGGGAAGGGCGAGGTGGAGAGAGTTCAGAACCCCTTCTCTTTCTTTTTCTGAATAGAGATGAGAAGTCGTTACGTTGCCATGGTAGCAAAATTTTTGGAGGTGAACAAACCGAAAACGTCACTTAAAAAGTCAATTCGCACAGCTTCAAACTTCATCGATCTTATTCAATTTCATTTAATTTGTCAAATGTTGGCGAAATTTTCTAGGGTAGCCTGTGTGGCAGGTGCAAAATCCCCCATCCCTTTTGACGCCTGCTACACAGGCTATTCTAGGGTTGAATCCGAAAGGAGCGTCCGTATAAAGAGGAAAACGACAAATTTTGTGTTGTGTTGTGAAATTAGGAAGTTTCATGTTCCTGGGGTGCAACGAAGGCAAAGAAATGCACAAAATCGTGTGATGCAAGTGCAGATTTGTTGTTTAGTGTTAATAAAATCTTTTACTTTTTTTGCCGTTCTCCTTCCGTCGCCGTCGGTCGTTGGTTTTGTTGTCATCCAGAAATAGTGCTACCATGGTGACGTGACGTCATACTTCTCTCTAACAGCGTGTGTCAAATTTTTGCATGTAAAAAGGCATCTAGGCCAGGAGATGTGCTTTGGCCCTTAATTAAGAAAGATGATTCTTAAAAGCGCTAAACTTGGTTGCAGATTTATAAATCAGTCATACCTCACTAGACTGACTTTTTTAAGACTTGACCGAAACCGGAAACCGCACATGGAAAGCCTCTGGCACCCAGGGTACGGAAAGTTGAACGCGTACAGAAACAAAAACACCACAAGAAAAGTTCTAAGACATGGCCAAATTATCATGTCTAAGAATATGTTGTCTGAAGGAAGTTACCACGAATTATGTACAAGATCAAAAATACCATCCCTCCTACTTAGTAACATGTCTACCAAAAATACCAGTCGTTATACTCACTACTAAGTTGGGATCCAAAGCACGGCAGACGCTCAAAGGGTCGCCTAGCAAGAACATTTATTTTTACTTATTGACCAACTAAAGAGTGACAGCGGTCTTTCCAGACAGGAAATGATCTTGACAGATGGGAATGCACAGTAATTTTAAAAGAGTTATTAATAATAACTCCTCTAGTGGGGTTAATTTAACTCCTTACAGTGGACTTATTTTTGCGGGGGAGTCATTTTAACTCCAAAATGGAGTTTAAAGAACTCTTTTTCAGGAGTAAAAACGACCCCAGATATTGAGGAGTTAAAATAACCCCCGAAAAGGAGTTATCCTGTACCCAAAATTTTTACTCCACTTTCAAAGTTAAAGTGACTCCAAAAAGAGTAAAAACAACCCATGTAAGGAGTAAAAATAACCCCATTTTCAGAGTTATTTTAACTCCAGACTGGGGGTTAAACAGCCTAAACAGCCTTATTAACCGGCCTAGTTTGTTTTATGATTTACTTATTTATTTAATCTACTACGTTGTGTAAAATCTAGGGATCCCGTTAGCTGACGGCAGTGTTTGTATAACCAATCAAGCTGAAAAACAAATATAAACAAACAAACAAACCATACCATACCAAACTGATAGGTCCAAGGGCTATTCTACAAAGTTAATTCAGCTGTCCCTTTCCCCCTCTTAAGCTACAACGTAAATCGAAGCGTTTTTACTGGTAATGAAATAAAGTAAGTTATAAAATTCTGGGTGGCCTTTTTGGGTTCATTTCATTCATTGAATGAAGCAACTCAAACGCTCAGGTACAGCAGGGGCACCCAACGACTTTTTTCCTGTAAGAGAACTATTAGAAGGAGCAAATATTGCCTAGAAATTTCTGAAGCTCAAGAAGGGCTGAAACTAAACGTTTTGGGATAAACGCTCCCATTCCTAATAAAGACATTCGGAGTTTTTTTACTTGACTTACTTAGTACTATTTCCGGTTGTTGTTTTATGTCGTTTTCAGGGTAGCTAATAGTTTCGAACGAGACAAAAATAGCCACTAAAAATACGACCAAAGTCCCCCTAAGCCATCCGAATAGATAAACAGATGTATCCAAACAGGCTTCTAAAACATACAGAAAACCATTTGAGATACTTCCGAAGCATTTGAAAACATTCAGTCGCGAAGTGCCCCAATAAAAAAAAGAGAGAGAGAGAAAAGTTGTGTTCTTAGATAAATTATGTTGTCTTTTAATCTTTATGCAAATATTCAGCTACAGAATGATAGTCTGGAGTATTTTGATCAGTACAGTCATCATGTCCGACCGACCACAGATAGGATTTCGTCAAACACTGTTGCCGATGACCAACTCGTATTATTTTTAGCTCTGCATTTTGTGGCACGCGCCCTGCATACTGCTAGTAAGGTTTATAATATCAACGGCCATAATTGTCTCTTGATAATATTTATTCACTATTTACTCAGTTTTTATCTGACGAAGACGAAGTTAAAAAAAAAAAAGAGATGAGAAAAAGCAGAAAGTAAGACCGCACTTCAACTAGTTCGACCTAAGGTATTAAAACACATATCCCTGTTGGTGTGAAATGGGTTGATCGCATGCATACAGCCGTCCTTAATTTACATATTTCCCCTACTGTGAACGTTCGTAAAAACAGGATTTGTCCTTATTCCCGAGGGTGTTCAGCTCAGTGATAGCGAAGAACCACCACCGGGAGGCTTACAAACACGAGTAGAAGATCGACCCGGGACATCATCGTCGTCTTGTTTACCTGTTAAATATAAAAAAACAAAAACAAAAACAAAAATTCAATGAAACGAGTGAAGATAAATTTAAGAAGCTCATACGCTACTCTGATCGAATGCAGACGGGTCACTTTTATCATAAATTCAATGTAACAGGAATTTAAATTAGCAGATGAGTTTTCATATGAAACTGCACATTTAAACATGTTTACTTCGCTTTTTATGTTGTGGGTGCGACTGCGTATATTGGAATTTTGCTATCCAAACAGTTCAAGTATTAGAAAAAGTATTACTTTAATGTCACATGACGTCACTAGAATGCAAACGACAAAACTATCGATCCTACTGAGATTTTACTTTCATGGTGTATCAGTAAATACAATAAAATTAATTTTCAAACAAATTTTCGCTTCAAAAGGGTTCTTGGTTTTGTAATAGAGTACGCTTGAATTTCTAAGCTTTTGCGTGACGCAGCATTTACATGACGGCCGAGAGAGCTGTCATTTAGATTAAAAAAGTGACTTTTTGCGAGGAATTTTGCAGTTCAAGTATTGGAAAAAGTATTACTTTAATGTCAATGAGTTCCTCTAGGAGTAAATTCACGCTTTGTAGTAAAACTCGGTAACAGATGTTTCTGTTGGTTTCCGTCCGCCATGTTGGAGCTCATCCGGATGAGCTCCAGCATGGCGTCTCCATACAAAGCTCTATAAATTTGGGTAAACATTTCCTCGGATATCTCGAATACGAATTATTCCTTCGAGCCAAATCTTGGCGAGGGTCTTTGTATTATGTACCTCTGATCATTTCCCAGATTCTGGACTTTATCTGTCGAATGGTTTTGATTTGTATTTCGATCTATTTTGAATGGCGGGACACTGAAAACCAGCAATACAGAATGTGACAGACGCTACATGTATAGCAGCAATGTATTTCTTAACCACCTACAAAAACACGCACCTCTTAATTATTACGCAAAGAAATACGAGCCTTTTGGCACAACTAAAAGAGACCCGTTGAAATCAGGGTACTAGAAGCTCAGAACAAGCTCGCAGGCCACCTCAGAACTGGTTTCCTGCAAAGTGTTCCTCACTCACCAGAGAGCTCGAAGCCAGACTTGTGAAGGTCCCTCGAGGCACCAGTTCTCCTCTGTTCTTGGTTCTTTTGTTTGCGCTGTGACGGGGACACAACAGGTGGGGGCTCAGACGACTCAATATGGATAACAGGCCCAGTATATGGTTCTCTGTCCACTTTGACAAGTTTGCGAGTCTAAAATGAACATAACCATCACAGTCAACCATTTACCACCTTTGAAAAATTGGCGTGGCATTCACGTAGGTTTCACTAGCGATCAGGATGCACTCATAAGCGAAAGCATGATGTTGATAAGCACAATTATTAAAATGTTTCCTCTCATCGTGCTTTCCCTAAGGCTTCCCATTGCGTTTTCCTCAAACGTCCCTCGCTCGATAAAAATTTGCGCGCAAAGAAAGGCGGGAAGGTGGAAACCCTCCCACTGCCCCTTACGCTTCGTCACCAGTCGCTCGCGTGTCGCTCGTGTGTAACTTGCGTTTCGCGCTCTCTTTAATGCCAAAAAGGGAAGCGCAAGAGGAGGAGGAGGAGGCAGGTTCATTGGGTATTGTTCCCAAAATATGAACTCCTCAAAGCCCCTAACTGATCCACTTCGGTCGATCGTCGGACAAGACGCTCTCTTGTCTCATATAAACCCAATTGAGCTGCTTGGGCTACCTGTGATCTTACCTCATCCCGTCTGATGATCCGGCCATACATGTATGAAGAGAAGGGTGGGTTGGGGATAAACCGACCAGAACCGCGAACCACATTGAGCTGTAATAAATAAAAAGCACGTAATAAATGGAGAAAATAAAGGATTACTTGACGGCGTTACAAAAAGCTTCCGATACAATCTGATATAAGGAATTCCATTATAAATCTCAGCAAATACCGTCGATTTATTCAAGCCATAAACTAGGGGGTACTTACCATCTACAAGGGAAAATCAAATATTTAAGGCTATCCAGGCCGTTAAGGAAGGCTTCAGAAAATATGGGCTGTAAATTTATTTTTCTACTCTTTTAGTCTGTTCTGATGATTTGGATATACTTTGTAGTGGTGGGTTGTTCTCCAACCACGCCAAATTTTAAAGTTTTATGTTTTTGCACAAGATTTCCACCAGGGAGGTTTCAGTGAAATGGTAAGAACCCCAAGAATGAGGTGTGCTCGCGTTTTTTAACTTTTGGCAGAATAATCCTCAAAGATTTGCAACCCAATCTTAAAATTACTTTGAAACAAAATTTACTAGGCACTTCTGTTGAAAATAACAAAACCAGAGCAGCTAACTAAAGATGAAAACCTCGAATATTAATAACATATCAAACAACGTAAAACAGAAACCACGTCTTATTTCTATCAGCTATCATTGTGAACCATGAGTAGTTATTATTTCAGGAGAGAGCTAAGCTGCAAATATTCCAGAGCTTGATGAGAAGTCAAATAGAAGCGATAAAGAAAATTATTAATTAGCACGACGACAAAAAAAAAAAGGAAAGGAAGGTAAAAACGAAAACTATTTTCAAACCAACAATTGCCCCGAAATTTTCAAACAGATTTTGGGAACCCTTTCTAGAAAAAGGGCCCTTTATAAGAAGAAAAATGATTGAACTAACCTCACCACGTTCGTAAACTACTTTTCCTTGACAGATTGTTACATCAGCTGCTCCGTGGCATTCCATTCCTTCAAAGATGTTAAAGTCCACCGCCTGCCAAAAGAAAAAGTTGTACGATTAAACGCCATCAAAAAAGGGACCATTGTATCCGAAGAAGGCGGCATAAACTTTTTCTTCATCACGATGATTCCAACTTACTTCTTTTGTCAAATATAGGCGAAAACTTTTGGAGTTGAATTCCTAACAACCATATCCTAACTCAGAAAGACAAAGAAAATTTCGCAGTGGCCTGTTTACGACCTCCAAGGCTCTTTCACGTTGTAAAACCATGCAGTGACATGTACAAAATGTAATGTACAAAAAAGTGTGCAGCACGGGCCACCAAGATTTTTAGCACAAAACAGCGTTTGCAACATTGTCGCGAAATGACGATCTTGTTGCTTTTTGTTGCCTTGGCGTCGTCGGATCTTAAGCTGTGTTCACACTAAACCGGAGAGCTTTCGTGCGGACACGAAAATCTCTCCAGTATAGTAGCGATATGCGACTCTCCACTTCAGATATTGGTGCGGCCCAGCTTCTTTCCGTTACAGAAATCGCGCGGAAATCGCCGTTCTTAGGTGTGAAAAGCAGGCCTATCTGGTATGGTTTTCGTGCCTGCGCAAAAGTTACATCCGATGTAATGTGAACACGGCATGACCGTCCTTAGTGTCCAAGATGTTGGAGAGAATTGTCTGTGTAATATAATAATGTGGTTTTCATACAGTTCAAGATACAGAACCACTTGTTCATTTTCACAGATTTACATGTTTCATATCTTACTTGGTGATGAGTTTTGGCAGATATCACACGGGTGGCTTCAGGGTCCCACACAACCACATCAGCATCAGAACCAGGGGCAATACGACCCTAAAAACATACATGTGCACGATATCAAATATAAATTTCATAATTTTTGTGAGTGCTTAAGAGTGAGAAACACTCGCTCGCAACCTCACACTCTAAAAAAAGAAGCGAAAGAAACCACGAATTAAAAAAATGCTATTGACTCCGTTGAGGCTTGAATTTGGGACCTCTGTTATAGATATACCGGAGCGCTCTTCCGATTGAGCTATGAAGCCCCGTGCAAACGGACGCAACACTGTTGTTTAACAACTCCTAACATTGTTAATTGTTATGTTGTGTCCGTTTGCACACCCTGTTGCATGGCCAACCATGTTGGGAGTTGTTGCGTCCAATTGCACGCAGCTTGAGGCAAACTGGAAGCAAGGTGCCAGAATTCAGGTATTTGGTCGCTGCAGTGGAGAATATGTCTAAACTTCAAGCTCAGAATTTAGAAGTCGTACAAGATTACGACTGGAAGTACGTTTTTTATTGATTATCTTTAAGTATACGGGGTGTAGAAAAAGCGTGAATCTGATATGAGCTCTTAGAATGATAGCGGTGGCTCACGAAAATGAGTTATATAATTAACTTGGGAAAAAGACTCGAATACGTAAAGATGAGTGAAAATACGAGACTTAATGGTAACAAGAATAAATTGTCTGAGTCTAGTGTAATAAGAAAATTTGTAAGACAGCCATACTGTTAGTGTTTTATACCACTGCAATTTACCTTTTGAGGATAGATATTGAAAATTTTGGCCGCGGTAGTGCTAGTTACTGCAACAAAACGGCAGGGATCCATCTTTCCTGATGCCTACAACAAAAGAGAAGAAAATTCTGTGCATCAAAGAACATAAGGCTTTCCACCCCTATCACCACAGGCAAACGACAAGATAAACTCATTCCGTGACCACAAATTTAAAGTCCACGTTCTGGCACGCTATCAAGGGCGGGGTTTTATGCGCCACGGCTACGAGCGAAACAAACATACACGAGAGCCTGGTGGAAGGCTTAACAGAACTCGACAAATGCGTGGCAAATAATTATATGTATTTAGTAATGCAGATCAAGAGAGGATAATCTTGTGTAGATAAAAACGTTTCTTCGCCTTGTACCATGGAGCGCGTACATAAAACAACAATTTGAAAAAATCACAGAGCAGAATATGAAGCAAGAAATGTCAACGGTGATTTACATGTGACTTCATTAGAGACAGTTATCATATGTTCTCTAGACTGAGTTGAGGATCAACTGGAATTTCACTTCTCACTCTATAAAACAACTTTCCCGTCTTAAACATTTATTATTTTTTTATTACGATCAATGGATAACTCACCACGCCTTTTTCCCAAATTACAGACATTCTATCTTCAACACCTGGGTCAAGAAAAAAAAGAAAAAAAAATGAATCTTGCTCACTATTTTGTACGCAATTATGGATTAATAATTATGGATTTGAACATACCCCTCGGCTAATTTACGCCCAAATAAGATATAAGGCAGTCTTGCAGCCAGGAACTTCTTTAAAAGTCTTTTCAGTGTTGACCAGAATCAATAATACTGCCTTTGCTTTGGCCATAAAATACACAAATGACATCTCTTAATGCAAGTGGTTTGCGTAGCAATGAGATTATATCGATGGTTAATCAATGCCATCAGCGACTAACCATTTTGTTGCACATCGTCTACTCGTCCTTGAATACTCATCATTATCATCAATACTCGATAGTTAGTGAACTGATACCCCAAAATTAATAATATCTAATAATTAGATATTGATTTCATCCATTAATTATGTCCAGAAGGCACACCTTTCATAAGGCTCGATTTCCGAGGGAGGAGCGCGGGCTCATTTACCGAAGAGCGGCCGGTAATCGAGCCTTACATGTGTAACTTTCATTTAAAAGGCATGATCCATCCTTAAATAAGTCCGACCACAGCTTTGTTTTGTCCAGTCTAACCAGTGACTCAGCCGGGCATAGACAAAATGTTCACAGCTTAGCAGGATAGCTGAAAAGACCTTCGCACCGCGGACTGCTGCAATTGAACTTAAGTAAGTAGAAGATTGGAGGATACTCTACCATTAACCCCGTTTGGAATCTTCCGGAAATCATTTTTTCCAAGCGCCTTTTGATCTGCAGAAAACGTACAATTGTCTGTTCCAGTTAGCTGTAGGTCGTCACTATAAATACAACGAAAAAAAATCCCTTAAACTACAAGAAAACTATACAGTACACTTCAGCATTATTAATGATCATGAACTCAGTTTTATACAAACGTAAATAAGTAAAGGTCGGTGTAACAACACAATATTAGCCCAGTTTTAAACAAACAAACAAAATAGTACACCATTTTCACTGTCAGAACAACCACTTACTACCTTCGCGAAACTAAGTTATGGGAAGCGAGATTTTTCAAAGGCAGAGGAACGTTATACAGAGAACGGAGAGGGAGATACGCATCGCCGAAGGGGAGGTGGGAGGGTCAAAAATTATAACCCGGCTAAGAACGACGTTATTTGCCAAAAGAGACCGAAATCACGGCATAGCTGGAAGGACTCCCCTGAGACTTCCACACGATTGTCTGTAATGCCCTGGGGTGCTACGGAATACCAACTTTGCGCGCAGGCAGAATCCGTGGTTATTCTAACAGTGAAAATAATAAATGAATGGAGAATGTGTCGCTAAATAAATGCAGATCATCAGGCCCTGATGCCCTTCACAGGTAAGCGAGGAGAACTTGCTTAAAGGAGCTACCACAAAATTAAGTGAAACATAAATAAATAAATAACAACTTAAAACATTAACAGAAGGCATACCGTAAAATTCCGAAAATAAGCCCCTTCATGTATAAGCCCCTCCAAATATAAGCCCCTCCAAAAATAAGCCCCTCAAAAAGGGCCTTTGAGAAATATAAGCCCCGGGGCTTATTTTCGGAATTTTACGGTAAGTTACGCAGCAAATACAAAAGGAGGCATGGACGGACAAACTTGATGAAAATTAAAACGGAAATAAAAATTGTGGTATTTGAAAACTTGTTAGCATAACAGTTTTTCAAAATTTATTTTTGTTGTCTGTAACGTTTAATTTAATGCTTGGTCAAAGTTGGGCGACATATTCAGTTTGACATGAAGCATTGATATAAGATATAAGACGAGATTGCTGTGCTGATAGCAAACGGAACTTTGAGCTAGATGCTAAAAGATCGAGTTTGCTAAATTTAAGAACGGTCTCTGATGAGTCACTTGGCCGGGACGAAAGACCGGTTGTCAGACTGCAAGAAGCCAAGATTCAAACGGTTTGCCACGAATTGAACAAAAGGAAATAAGATAAAAAAAAAAGGAAGAAAGAAAGAAAGCCAACAACAAAACTACTCACTTGGCTAGAAGATCCATAAGGAACCCAGGGGTGGTCGGGTCAGGTCTGAGTGGTGGACCCATGACATGACCTGAAAAAGTGAAAAACAAGTAATTACAAATATTATTACAAATTGTTATTTTGCCAAACAACATGAAATAATAGAGTTGTGGAGTACATTGTAGTCTCCAATAGTCCCTTTGCAACTTGGGTTACATGACCTATCTGATACCAAAAGAAAATAATTATGTACAACCTTGACGATAATTGTCAGAGATTAAAAGTGTTTTAAGATGGAATCCATTACGAAATTGATTAATTTGAATTTTCAGTGGGCAAAAAACCTTGTACAAGAACAATATCAGAATAATTTCATTTATTTCTTTCTTTATTTTTATACCTGCTGCATGTCTCCAACACTTGTGCCAGTAATTTGTTCCATCAGTACCTAAGCTTGCAGCGATAGGTTCACCCACAACAACAACACCTCGCCTACGTGCATCTGCAATAGCCTGGGCAGACGTTTTACTCATCACATGAACAATGTAAAGGGGGCAGTTTAACTGCAAGTGCAAGAAAGCTCAAATCAAAACAAGAAGAATGATGAAGCGTTGATAGAGCCTTCCACGTTTACACATGGTTAGGAAGAGTTAGCAACCATTGTTTTACAATTTCTTTTAGCCCTGTAACACCTCCTGTAATAATTTGACAATTTTTTTTTTGCTTTACTCTGTTAATGTCTCTTGTTAAAGTGTTTTTTTTGGGTGTTTTGTAAATGTAATTATTTAATGTGATTATCAATAAAAATATTTAAAAAAAAATAAAAAAAAAAAAAAAAAAAAAAATTGTCGTGGCATCTTAAGTTGCCAAGTTTGAAAGTAATAATAATGAAGTAACATGTATGACTCTACAAAGTTACAGAATTCTACAGAGACTTGAATGATGGGGGACAAGTTTGTGATTTTCACCATCCTCAGAGACCCAGGGGTAGATAGTGGGGGCGAGGGAAAGTCTAAAGTTCTGGCTTCTGATTGGTGCCAGAAAACTTGTGTTTTTCTGGCACCAATCAGAAGCCACAACGGCGGCGACCGTTTGGAACTGGTCTGGTAAGACATTGTCCCCAGGGGCTCTTCTGGCCGTTCTTTACTTTTCTTTTGTGCCATATTTTTCCGCCTGTTTAGACTTTCCCTTGCCTCCACTATTTGCCCCTGGGTCTCCGAGGATGGCTTTCCACTATACATGCACAAGCATCTGTATGATTTGGCAACTTTGCATGAATATCATTGCTCACTGCTGACACATCACTTTTCCAACTTGGCAAGTTTATAAATTTTAGGGTACTGCTTGCAGTGGTGTTGACGGATTTTCACTACCGGGTCCTCGAAAAAGTTGACTAAGAAAAAAAAAACAAAAAAACCAACAACAACTGTTTTTTAGCCAGTTGAGAAGTAAGGAGGTAAAGAAGTAAAGCCCAAACCTGATTGGCTATCATCATAGCTCTCACACAAGCTTCTGTCTCCACTTCCTCTGTGCGGCACATCTCATGTCCCTCAGGGCCAGTTATGCCAAGAGCAACCATCTTCTTGGCATTCTGCGACAGAAAAAAAAACAACAAAACAATATATTAATAATGAAATACCCAAAAAATGTACTATTGCAGCAACAGTTATGTTGACATACAGTTGTGTAGCTTTACTAGCATGACGTTTTGTTTAGTCTGGAGGTTATAGCACCACTGCAGATAACTGTCAGTGTACACTACCTAGAGGAAATAGTCTGCTAATACACAAAAGAGGAAAAATTTCCAATCTCACTTCCTAAAATAGCTGGTAAAAGCGGAAAATTGACGGACTAACATTTTACATACCCAGTGAAATACATGAAATACATACTGCCTTAAGCGAGTCACCTCAAAAAGTTGTTTTGCTGTAGACAATAATAATGCTTTGTTTATGTGCAGTCTGGTCTCTATCTTCAGAGACAATGGTGACTCTCCATTTCTCCAACAAATGACAAAACAAAGCAAGAATGCTGAATCGTAATAAACCAATAATAATATCAGACTCATTTACACCACGCACAAAAAATTGCGACTCGTCATCGTCTACCAAAACAATAATTAATTAGGTTTAATATTAGCCAATAAATTACATGCATAATTATGTCATATATGGCATTATAATAACTCTAGTTTACCTCTGCGATAAGAGTTCCATTCTCAGCATGAACTTGTGCAATGGCTCCAATATCTTTACACTTGCTGTAACAATGATACATCTGCCACACGGGGAAATAAAAGATGAACAAAGAACATTAGTAACAAGCATACATGTACATATAACTGATATTATTAGACTGCAAAACAGTCCATATTTCTGCGTATTCAAGTACACGCAAGCAGTCAAACAAAAGGCCATGCTTTACCGATTTCTTTACTGATTTTGAGAAAAAAAACCAACTGTTTTGCAGTCTAATAATTATATATAGACACCACCAAGAACTGCTCAGGTGAAAATATACATACGTGTACTGTAATTTCATTTTATTCATGCATGAATTTATTTTTATTTATTTTTTTAATACCAACAGGAAAATATAATTATGCCTGCTTTGATTCAAAGAAGAAAGTTGAATTCTGTGAATATAAAGATGTACGTAAAAAAAATGCTACTTTACCTCTTCATCAGATAGCATAAAAACATCTTTATAAGCCATGAAGGTTTTAAATGAATTTATACCTGTAAAATAAGGACAAGTAACTAAGATTTTTCTTAACTGCAGCAATAATTGTTCCTTCATGCAACTTCCGTACCTATGGACAGTGTGAAAAAGGAACTCTTATTGTTGACCATCAGATTGGATACTTTGCTTTTTGCATTAGAGCGGTTTTCACTTGACTGTCGTAAAACCAAAACCAAAGTAAATACAGTACCCTTGTAGAATCAGACACTATGTAGAATCTATGCAAATGCTATGTCACAAAGCTATGCAAAACCTATGTTAATCACTCATACATTGCTTTAACCAGATCCTATGTTGTTTCTATGCCAGGACTATGTTTTTTGTATCGAAAATGCTATGTTTTCGCTAGTCAAACGGAACCTACTTAAAAGCTATGTAGTTTTTAAAGGTAGGAAAAAAGGAAGAAATGACATAGTTTCCACATAGCCTATACATACAGTTTACTTAGCTTGTGGAAAGAGATTTTAGACTTCATAGTCAACCTCATAGAAAAATCATAGAAAATAAATAGCCTTCACATAGGACTGAAATAGAGTTTACATAGTAAAATGGAACAGGGAACAGTTGATTACATAGCTTTTGAATAGGGTTTGCTTAGAATTTAGATAGCCTAGAAATAGAAAAAACATATGAAAAACATAGCCTTTTTAAAGGTGACATATACTTTGCATAGCATTAAAATAGGGAAAACACAGAACAAATAGTCTTTGCATAGGTTTGAAATAGGATTTTAATAGTATTTGAATAGGTAAAACATATCACATACACAAGCTTTAACTAAAGTTCAAACAGAAATTACATAGAATTGACATAGTCTCTTATGTATGTAGGTTTCGATCTGCTTAAGCAAATGTAGTGTTTAAAATACGTTCGTAAAAATCACCAAAATAGTAAAAATAGTATAAAAATATGAATTAGAATACCTTTTACATTGGTAAGAAATAGGTTTTGAAACGAAAAATTGAAAAACTATGGCAATATAATACCACGAACACTAATAGTAACACAAATGCAGTATTTTCATGGAGGTTTCAGAATCGAAACCCCAAGTTTAAGTTTGCTTATCGTGTAGACTTTTTGCTGATGTCGTGCTCTTCAGTGCCATACAGTTTCCTTTTGACTACAACGAATAAGTATCTGCAAACAGAAAAGTGGAGATTTTAAGGCAAATGAACATAAAAACAACCTGACGTTTTAGAATTGAAACGAAGGAGTATCAAAGCGTGATCGACCGATCCTTGTTCAGATACGCGAAAAGGGGAGACAACACAGGCAAATCGAAACTTAATTGAGAAAAACATCACTTACCAACGTTAGGAATACTTTTTGTTGAACCTGGCAGGAAAAAGACTGTAAATTGAAGTAAAAAGAAGCGTCTTCTTGTAAAACGCACGCTTACAGCTCGTCTTCTTTGACTTGAAAGCGCCCGCGTGGAAACAGACAATTTTCACACCTTTTCATTGGTTGAAAAGGCCCACGTGATGATAAAACGCAAAATACGCATGTGTTGAACTCACGGGCTTCCCTGGGAACTAGTGGAAACAAAATGGCTGGCAAACATCCACCGAGGCAGGTAGCGTTTCGTAGTTTTGACCATGCAGTTATATTCAGGAGACGTCCACAATCAAGACGAAGGATCGAACCCAATGTAAAAGAAGAAAATGATGCTTGGAAGTATCATTTCAAGTGAAGAACTCTAGGGAAAAGCTAGAAAGGAAAGTTAAGACAGGGACGATGGATGTAGCGATTCAATGCTTAACAAAAGTCTTCTCACTAAGAAACTATCTGCAAGCACAAAAAAAATTATAGTACATGATTTTTCAGTGTCTTAGTTTAAAACACTGCTTTTTACTTTGGAAGTATGCTTAGCCTTCTGTAAGCGATACCATCAACATGCCTAGTCACTTAAAAGCTATGTTGGAATATCACATAGGAAACGCATAGACTACATATATTTTTCATATGAGTGACATAGGAAAAAATATGTTTATGTAAAAGCTATGTAGCCTTTATCTCATGATAAAGCTAAATGAAAATGTCACATAGTGAATACATAGGCTGCAAATATGTTTCATCACATAGCATAGAATATACATAGCACTATGTAAAAGCTAAGAAACTTGTTGGAAATAAAAGTGAAGATCGAAATGCTATGTAAAAGCTATTTTACTTTGATGCATAGTGAATACATAGGATGCTAATCGGAAGGAAAAGCAGAACTTTCTATTGCATAGTAAATACATAGCTATGTCAAGACTACGAAAAGATTTTGAATAGTATTTGCATAGGTATTCAAAAGCTATGTGCTTTTCAAATTAGTGGGGCGGATATATGCAGAATTTGAGTCAAATTGTGCGCTTTTGGGTTAAAAGCATCATATTTGGCAAAAATGTTGCCTTAGTTGCATTGGTTAATCTCTGATATGGAGCCATCCCGGATTTTGGTGCAGACGCGAGTTATGGGGATTTTATTTAAACGGCAGCCATCTTGACCGGAAGTGAAAGTATAAATTGCTGGAAGTTAAATTTCTTTGCTTTTCAATAACTCTTAAGTTCAAAAATCTGTTCATTTATTCTTATTTACAAAGATTAAGAGGCTGTATTATTGAAATAATGCAGAGAGAATTCAGGAATTGGAGAATTTTAGCGTTTGGCATTAACTCCGTTTTAGACCGGAAGTACACACTTTTGTCCGAATTGCTAAGAGAAAGATGTAAAAAAGGCAGTTGATTACTGCAAAACAATAAACGTTGTAATAGTAAAAAAATTGAAAATAGACAAAGCTATTGTTTAAGAGCCGTAATTTTTGTATCAAGGTTATTAAATTTTACGTCCGCAGCTAAAGAATAAATCACTAAGTTGAGCCCCTCTCACAACGCATATGGCCGGTTCGGAATGACGGTTATTGCGACTTTTAAAATTGATTTCTGTTACTTAACGTAACCGAAAACTTGAGATAGCCGATGGTGGTCTCAGTTAAAATATCCATGATGCAAAATTAAGGTCTGATAACATTTACACTTGTTTCACCATTTGTGGGGTTAGACTTGCATGTTACGTTTTAGAACACAAGAATTTATCACAAAGACACATAGGCAGATAGGAGTTAGCTAGAAAGATTAGTCAATGTAGTTTAGAGCTTAAAAAAAAAATCGGAAGAGATCTGTTTGAGTGTCACTACATGCCCTGTAACAAATATTTTCCGGTAGATCCACACTAATAATAAAAAAAAAAAACAGTTGACTTAGCCCGCTGGACTAGTAAGTGGGTTTTGGTATAACATTTGTAGTAGCCTTAGCCTGTTCCAGGCTCTCAGAAGTAACCTGAGAAAATGCTCAAAATGGTATCGATGTTTTAAATTTCTTTCTTTAATTGAGTCATTTTGGTACAATTTCAACATCTAGTTCGAATTAACCAATTTTTAGTCAACTGATGTAAAAATACAATCAAGTCCAATAAAATAAGTATTTGTTCAAGTTAACATAGAGCCCCAGTTAACCAAATTAACCACGTTTGAGGTGGTACAACTGGGTATTTTTGTTTTGTTGTGGTTGTTGTCATTTTACTTTTAGTCAGCTCGATTTGTATCAATCGAGTATTGCAATGGAAAAAGATGTGCAGAGTATATACCTTATTATTAAAACTGAATCATTGGATTATTCATTTCTAGAGCTCTGATTGGCTTAGCCATCATTGTACATGAGCCATTATACCTCAAAATTGAAAACAAGCTGAAAATCGGTTGTTTTTACAAATAAAGTCGGGAAGAATTCTCGATATTTTTTTTGGACGTTTTTAATAAAAAAAAATTATTCCACTCGCGCTTGTTGGATATGAGAAGATTATAGCCAACTTGGCACTACGCGCCTCGTTGGCTATCTATCATCTCATATCCAACGCGTTATAATTGTTCTTTTTCTTGACAGCAGAAATTTAAATAATTGCAAACGAAATGCCGAAAAGTGGCAGTAGCCGTGGGGATAAATAGATAACACGGATGTTATTGCTAAGACCGATTGGACTAAATGTGCCATTTGCCAGCAAAACAAAGTAGAGCCTTTAAGGTGTTCCGCAGATTCCAAGCGCTCGTGTGATGTTGGATCAGGCTACACGACCTTGGCTGGGAATATAGCGAAGTTTAGGGATCACGATTGCATGCCTATACAGGTAGATCTTTCACGGCTAGATGAAGGTGATGGATTAGAGAATACGTTCGTAAGGTGCCAAGCACTCTGGCACAAAAGTTGCTATGATCTCTTCAATTCTACGAAGTTGAAACGAGCAGTTGGTGGAAAGTATACACGGTCAGCTTTGCTTCCATCTCTCAACAGTGACGGTACATGCTTTTTTGTGGAGAGTACTCTACACGAAATAACCCCCTTCACAATGTCTTAACATTTGGTTTAGATGCTCTCGTCAGGACGTCGGCAACGACATTGCAGGCGACTTGTAATTGGTAGCACCAGAAACTAAATATTAAGCCTCATGTTTAGCATCACTATATAAAAAGGCTGAGACAGTCAAAGAGGAAGGCAAAGAAGATGGGACAAGTCCTCGATGACTGGAGGGTATGGCGCTTGTTGAGCTGGTTTCCATTATTGAAAAGTCACGTATGGTTAGTAGTGCAGAGCTCCCAGTTTTCAGACTTGCCGAATTATGTTGATAAGGCTGCGTGCAAACGGACACAACAACTCCCAACATTGTTGCGCGAACAATGTTGGGTGTTGTTGCGTGCGGGTTGGCAGTGGTGTGCAAACGGATGCATCAACTTCCAACAAGTTTGGGACCTGCAGTGCATCGTGGGAAGAATACAACCCATAGGTCTCTGTAATCCATGCGTAATCAGCGTGCGTGGCCCCTACACTGTTGGAAGAACCGTGCAAACGGATCCAACATTGTTGCGCTACGCTTCGGCGATCACAGAACAAAAGAAATGTTGGGAGTTGTTGGCTGAAAAGTTTGACCGGTTTCAAACTTTGCGCAACAACTCTCAACAAGAGGGTGTGCAAACGGACGCAACATGCAACATCCAACAATGCTGGGAGTTGTTGGCCAACAATGTTGCGTCCGTCTGCACGGGGCTTAAGTGTACGTCCCATTTGAAACAGCTTGGCAAAAACACACCTGCACGCATCCACACTACAACACAAGAACCTTGGCCTTCAAAAATCATCTTTCCAACGCGATGCAGAAGAAAGCTCAAAAGAAAGACACAGAGGTACCCAACGAACAAATTTTTACAAACAAGAAAGAAATACCTAAAAGGGATTTCTCTATGCTTTACAAAACTCCGTTTGCATTTTAGGGGACGATTTTTGTTTAAACCGAAATTTTCAGGTGCCGTAAGCATTGTGGGCAAAGAAATGTTCACACAGAAATACACATTTGACGGATCTTTTGGAGCAAACTCCGTTCCACCATCACCTGTATTTCTCGTCAATATGATTCTTTATGGTCCTAACATTGAAATACAAGCTAGCACTTTAACCAAGTCTCAGGCTGGTCTTACCATCTCTCAGTTGCTACAATACAACAGTTACCATCGCCGTCTCACCAACAAGAGCAGCTCTAGTGGAACACACTAAGCGCGCTGCATATCAGGCAGGTGACTGCTGGGGACAAGCACTAGTGCCTAGTCCAGTATTACCGAGTCTACAAGAGTGGGGATGGACATTGGATGAAGGCATTTGGAAGCCATTCTGGACAACATTACCTCATGTGACAAAATAGTGTGGAGAAGTTGTCCGATTCGGATGTAAAAAAGGATATCAGGAAAGATGTTCCTGTACAGAGGCAGGCTTACGCTGTACTGACCTCTGCACCTGCGCGGATGACTGGGATGATACATGATTGTTATTCAACCTTCAATTGATTTTTATTATTTCTTAAGAAAATAAATAGAGTTAAGGTATTTTATGGTATATAGGTGAACGATGAATAATTTATCGAAATACAACAACAACAACATAAACTTTTTTTTCACTCGAATTTACAGAGGGTAACAAAGTAACTTGTTGTAACATTGCTCTGTAGTCAGGCAGAATTCTAGGCTAGGAAAATACCTTTGTTTATTGATCATAAATGTAAAACTAGATCATGGCTTAAATTAGTTTGAAATTGCTTGCGTTTTTGTCGTGGATTGTAGTAACATAATCCCGACCCCAAAACAGCACAATAATAATTTTTTCACACCAAAAAAATAGTTAAATTCATTATGCATCTCCCTAATCTGTCGATATTCAAATTAGTTGATTCAGAGAATGGAAATATGATTGTTAAAAACTACTTCCGGTTTGAAAATGTTCACTTCCGGTTTTAATTAATGGCTATTTTCGATACCGGAAATATCTCGACAACCCATAATATTTCGCAATGGCTCCATATCCACATTTGATAGGCACATGAAGTTAAACTCTTCTGCCCAGTTTCATGCTTTTAACTAAAAGTCGCACAATCCAAGCACATATCCGCCCCACTAAATAGCCTAAACATAGTTTCAACATAGATTTTGCATACTTTGGACTATGTTGTTTGGTGTGTTACATAGTTAATACATAGGCAGTAGTGAACATAACATAGCTGAAACATAGTCCAACATAGTAAACAAATAGCATGAGCATAGGTTTTGCATATGTCTGGTTCTACAAGGGTAGCCAACCAAAGGGCGTAGTAAAAAGAAAACCAAACCAATTCCTCAATTACTTTCGACAGTCAAGTGAAAACCGCTCTATTTTGTTACATTACAGTCACTGAAAAGGTGGATAGAGCTATGCTATAGATAAATCTCTACCCAAATTCTTATCCACTGGACAGCTATTTATCCATTGGAAATCACTATTCAACCTCTGAACAACTGAGCTCTGGATTGTATTTCAGTCAAATGACAGCAGCAGTATGGTGATATTCACTAAGCCCTTTAATTTTTAATGCTACCTTTTTCTTTAACAAGTGTTTCCATCTCTTCTCCAACTTCATCACTCCACCATGTCACGGCTACATGGAAGGAATAATCACAGCAAACTGCAAATCAATGGAACCACCATTAGTACTTAAGGCTTCGAATAATCTCTCCTTGGAAGTGGCACACTTTCTTTTACAATTCATGCCCTTTACTGCATCCAAAGCAACAGACAGCAAAATTAAAATTGTTGTTACTGTTACTAGTTTTGGAACTGCATACATTTTGAGCATCCTCCTGATGAACAAATACAACTTCAATGTACAATGTACATTGTATACTACATTGTATTAATTTTATTAATACACAGGCTGCATATGTTGTGGTGAGAAAAATATCCTTGCTTCAAATTTCAATTTCATTCCTTAGCTTCAAACATATCATCATACTGTACAGTGCGAATTATTTGCCAAAAACAAAGGAGACATAATTATTTGAACTAAGAACACAAATTTAAGGAAACCATGATGAACATACTGTACCAAACTATTTGAAAAAATAAATTATAGTGTCAAAGTCTCAGCGTTTTTTAGTCTTATAGCTTTCAACTGTATAGCAGAGTCTTGTCATTACATAAATCAGACACGTGATAATAAATGACTTTGCGATACAGTCAAAAGCTACAAGACTAAAAAATCTAAAACTTTGAGACTAAAATTTACTTTTTCAATTTTGCTTAGCAAAGTCAAGAAAGCATTCATGGAATTATACCAAAATGTTTTCAAGGGTTTAAAGGGCAACTCTCGCGTAGGACAACATTTTTCAGAAAAACCTTGCAAATGTTTTTCTCATTGTAATACCACCAAGAAATATATCTTCAGCGATCTATTTGGCTCAGAAATCGAGATTCAAAGTGTTAAATTTGCCGCTTACTCGAACTTCCGCCATTAACGCTTCGATTTTGCCAATCACGTGACGTGACGTCACAGGTGTGGAACAACAGATGATCTCGAATATGGCTGACTGTAGTTCTTCAAGTGATAGCGCTACCTCTTTGTCCGATTATTCGGTTCTAGAAAACTTTTAGAATGCGAAGTATAGGGTAGCCCTTCACGGAAATTCAACCCCGGCGTTCTGAGCCGCCTGGAAGATCGTTCGAAGCTGATGAAGTTCGTACGTCGCCAGAAAACATCGAGCCTACTACTCGCCCGCAGCAATCTCGATAGCAGTGAAGAATGGTGAGTGCCTAGATGGTTTTGAACAATTCTTGTGTACAGTGCGATCCGTAAATCGCTTGATTTCATCAATGCTATGAATGCTTCAAATTGTAAAAGGAAAAGGACTAATTCAACACGCATTTTTTTTTGCATACTTAGCGTTTATAATTTTAGATCATTGTTTTCATATTTCATATGTGCAAGTAGTCGAAAGCGTACCTTCCCCTTCTAACGACTACTGGAAATGATAATCTGGGTAAGTTGTCTCAGTGTTGTTTTCTTTTAATTTCTGCTTTAATCCTGGTTTTACAAAAAGCAGTGATTTATAACGGAAGCAATAACTACGCTCTCGTAATTCGTTGACTGCAACGCAAACAAATTTCCATATCTTTGCCCCTTGACAGCCGCTCATGCTCGACTCGAGGAGTGCTTGCACTTTAAAATTTGTCTCTTTTGTTGTTATACAGATTGTTATACATAATAACTGAAAGGCGCTGTACAGTTGTTTTCCTACAAGTCGTTCACTTATTTTTACTGTGTCTTGCTCTGTCAATGAATTTGGTTCAGAAGTTATTATTCTAGCTTCTGTGTATCCTGATGTTATTATTAAGACAATTGAAAGTTGGGATGAGATACACCTCCATACCCATGTGAACTAACTGCTTGCATAAAACGTTTCTGCTCCCCAGTATATGATTTTTGAGGTTGGTACGTGTCGTATTCACTTAAGTTTTTGTCTGGAGCACAACAATGGTTATGTTAACTACAATAATATTGCATTTGATGAGATATAACTGCAGGAACTTCTATTATGATACACCCAGTATTGAAAACGTGTACATATTTGAAACTATTTTGTGGTTATGGGCAGGAGATAGTATGATGAAGCCATAAACGTTAGAGAGTGAATAAGCTCAAAATTGAAATAATATTCTCTGTCTTGACTTATGGCAGTTTGATAATTTTCAGGGTGCAGAATGAAAAGGTCAATATTCAACACTTGCTCTGTTGCCCTCCATTAACCGACGTTCAATATTTATGACTAAAGAAAATAACTACTATTGGATGGGGGGGGGAAATATCTGCTTCCAACGGGTGGCTGTTGTAAAACGTAAATATTTGGAGGCAGTTGAAGTTAAAAATATGGAGGAGCCTCCTAGAGGAGCATAGTGGAACACCCAGGATTCCAGGCAGTTTGTCTGAATTACTGGGTGTTACGAGCTGCATGGCAATACAAGCAGCAGCATGGTGCCTTGGCATATGAAGAATCAGATCATAAAAAAAGCAGGCACATTGCCTAAAGGCAATTGGTAAGGTGATACTGGGGCTCCCTTGGCAGGGACACAGGAGTTACATTACCGTCCTTGATTCCTGTGCAGTTAAGTGCATACGACCTCATTTCCAGGAGCCTGAAAGGTTGGAGGATGAGATGGAGTTCACAGGATTCCATTGTGCAGGGCCGAGTTGTTCAAAGCTGGGTTAAGATAACCCAGGGTTAGTGCGAGATTTGAATTAAGATTTGAAGCTTAAAAAGCAATTCAGTTTTAATTCTTTTTGTCCACAAGTTGATGATTGGAAGCTCTACAAATAAGAGAGAAAATTATCCGAGAAAATGCTTTTGAACACAAGAAAAAGAAACCAGGGTTAAATTTAACTCCGGGTTAAGCGCTAACCGGCCTTCGAACAACTGGGCCGGATGAATAAATATACCATGTATTGCAAATAACCCTACTGTATATAAAATATGATGCAATTTTCTCACTCACCACTGGAAGACTGGGCTAGAGTAACTTTGTTGCCATTAAAATGATTGTTACCCAGCAAACAATGTCAACAATAATTGTTGGAACTAAAAAATCTATAAGACTACATGGTCTTTTAAAGTCCAATGGTGTCAGTGTGTGGGAAATACATGATTCTTCTCAACTATTTGCTCACAGCTTCTGAATAATAATGGCGGATTAGTGTTTGACTAATAACATGTCACCCTTTTTTTTTTCCAGCAGGTGTGATTGTTAACTGGCAAATAATGTACAAGTTGAAACTTTATATCTTAATAATAAAATGGTATTTTATTTTCATTGCTGTATATCTTCAGGTTATAATGGGAAATCCTCATTTTTAAATTAGAATTCACAAATGGATTGTTTCCATCTTGCATATTTTAATTGAGAAGGCAATAATAATAAAGAAAACCGGTCACAGTTTAAGTGGACCATACAGTGCATGGTCATCTAAGTCACTAATTGCAGTAGTGACCTAGCTTAGCCTAAACTACAAAGAATCAAAACATTGCAGGGCATTGTAGTCCTTCTTTAGTTGACAAGGCTGGAAAGATTTTATCTGCGAACGAAAGAACCCATTGCCTCATCTCTGTTGGGCCTCTCTTTGGATGCAGCAAGTAGTGTAGGGGTATTCAGTTGCAGGTTCAACATGTAGTTTTTTAAAGCCCTTGAATTTTCTTAATAGCCAGCAAAGACTTTCAGTTATGGTGCTTGAGCCATAACCTTCAATAAAAAGGTTCATACTGCAGGAACCTTGCCTAGTTCTTTCTCCTTTTTCACTCCCGTTATGGATCGCATTTTTCTCCTTGGAATTTTCCAAAAGTACTGCGTCGGGGATTTAAAAACGGGTTAATAATTTCTTTTTCCTTTCTTGTCCCAAAGGGAAGTATTGCAAAAGAAGCGTGACACGCGTGGCTATCAAGGCAGTTTTATAGTGTTCGCGGGTAGGACGGGTACAAAGTACCACTAAAGATAATGAAGCAATCCTATTTTAATCAACTTTTTTGAACTGTTTTCATTTCTTTCCATCCTTAAAAGGCCCATTACATGTAATTTTAGCGTGTGTGCAGGTTTTGCGATGGAATGACGCTACAATCTCGAGAGCACATCTCGAATAACTACATTCAAAACGATGATCATAAAATCGCAATTTTCGGCGAGAAGTGAGTTTTATTTCGCGTGTTTAGAAGCAAAGGTAAATGGACGGAACCTGCAGATTTCAGACAAGAGAACAACACACTTAAGTGAAAACACAAAAGGCGGTATAGAATCAGGCCGGTACGGTGGTCTGTGACGGAGTTCTCTTCAAAGATGCGAGTATTTCCCAGGAAAAAATTAAGTCGTTTTCGAGGAATGAAGGGCATCAACACCCATCAGGTAACATTAATGGTTCTATCAGAATTTTAAATCTGCTATAGGAAAGATGTTCTTTGTATTATACGTAGCAGATTAGGAGCTTAGCTGTTTACAATTATTGACCTCGGGTCGATAAATGTCTCACGCGACTTCAAAAATACCCTAACAAAAAAAATACAGAAAAAATCTAAATCACCCGCATCTGATGCCCGTGTAAATTTAAAAATTGGAACCATCATCGAAATGCTTTTCCTGAACGTTAATATGACAGTAGAGGCTCTATTTCTCCTTTATTTGCAAGAGAAATTTGGTGCGTTTTTCTCTTATAATCTTCACTTGGCAATCCGTGTTCCACACGTGTGACGTAAAATCACGTGACTAACCTGAAATCCGAATGTTTTCAAAATGGCGGCAAAAATCGAGTTTTCAAAAAAGTATAAAAAAATAAGTTTCGCAGATATATCCGAAATTTCACCAAAGAGAGACATTACATGCCATTGGGAAACCATAGAGAACTTAAAAAACAGGGGTAATTTTCCCGAGAGTTGCCCTTTAAGTCAATCCAACGTATTTAGTGGTCAAATCCATTCTGCATCTGTATAATGGTGTTTTCACCAAATGCACTGCAGGCATTGTACAGGGATACCTACAATTGTAAACCCTGGTAAATAAGGGAAGAGTAACTTGTACCTTTCTCGTCAGCCCATTTTCTCCATTTTTCGTAAGCTTCCAACAACGATTCACCCTTTTGTGGAATCACAAAGTCAACTGCGATAGAGAAAAATATCGAACAAAAATGTCATCGTATGATACATATGTACAGCTGTATCTATCAAAACAATAAAACTTAACACTTTCTTTATATAATGAATCTAAGCTTTAGTTTATTTTGTAGCTTTCAAATAATATAAAGACTTAATATTCTATTTACATAGACTGCATATCAATTAAATTAAATTTCATTGTACAGTCACGTACATGTATAACAGTTCTGCAGGGCTGCCACTAAAATTTCACATTGCTGCGCATTGTGCATTACAGTATAAACTGTACTGTAGACGTACGGATTTATATGGCTACAAGGTAGGGGGTTCTTTTGATACTTTTTTTTTGTTTGGATTATCACTCACTGATCATGGTGGTTCCTCCAGCCAGTGCTGCTCTTGTTCCAGAGTAAAAGTCATCAACAGCAACAGTACCCATAAATGGAAGCTGCATGTGTGTGTGACTGTCAATTCCACCTAAATAAATACAGTATCATGCAAAGTGACAGTTGGTGAGTGTTAAGAAAAAAATTGACACTACATGTAGTGTTACTCATTCGCAAATCTCAGTATCTGTTGGTCGATAGTAGGCTGATTGTTGGCTGTTTGCTGGCACAGTTGGCTGATAATAGCCAGTATGGTTTTAAGCAAAATTGTAGGCTGGTCGTCCATTGACAGGCTGCCCAGCCCAGTACCTTATCTATTGCCTGGTTTCCATAATTGTTCCAATCACCTCAGTCATCTCAAAATATTAATGTTCACAAGATTGGGACAATTATATGACTACCTGGACGAATGCAAAAGACCCAGACGATTGGGATGACCTTAATCATTTTGGGTAGAACTGAGTTTTTGCAGACAAATTGGACAATTGTGTAGAATTTGAAGTGATCACATGGAAAAATTCTCAGACGACTAAGATGATCGGAGCAATTGAAGGCTATCCCAGAAATCATCACTCTTATTCTTACATGGATGGGGCAATCGGGATGAATGTTATGGAAACCAGGCTTTAACTTTAGCTGAAGATGCACCCTGGGTTGAAGAAAAGCTCCTGTAGTTCAATGCTTTGGAAACGTGGGTATAAGGTTGGTATTTATGGTCAACTGTCAGTGGCCTGTTGGTGATCTGTCCAGGTAAACTGCCTGACAAGCAGACCAGGGCTCAAAAATTAATAACCACTTGTCAAAGGACAATATCTAGCCAAGAAAACCATTTGTCCAGACAAACTTTTGGTTTACCGTTCACTTTGAGCGGCACTCAAATGAGTAAATGAGCGAGCAGAAAAATATAAAGAATTACTACTTTGAATTCACACCATTACAAGTCATTTCAAGAAGACAAGCATCTTTCTCACTTTATGTTTTTACCTGTTAGGCTAGTACCTTCAAGTTATTAGATCATGTTATTTTTAATACATGTTTTTTGACTGGTCAGAAGAGAGATGTGACTAAGCAAAAATTTCTTTGGCTGGTTAACACAACCTTGGAATGACCAGAAACTGTCCCACAGTCCTACAGACAGATATTCAGAAAACTAATCATCACAATTAAACAGTGAAAACTATAGTTCAAAAAATGCTGCCTTTTGTCTAGTAGGGTTATTACCTGGGATGACAAGTTTTTTATTAGCATCAATAACTCTTGCTCCACCAGGAACAACAAGATTTTTACCAACATCCCTGAAAAGGGGAGGTTAGGCAAAGTTTAACAAACAACAACAAAATTAATTATTATTATTATTATTATTATTATTATTATTATCATTTTTATGTCTATTTTGATTAAAGTTATAATATATACATGTACATGTAGTGTGGCACAATTCTCTTCTTTTCTTTCAATAAAAGGATTTACCTGTGACTGTAATACCCACGCTAGCTTGCTTTTTCATTATAATCCCTCTCTAACTGACTGAGTAAAATATAAATTAAATTAAGATGCAGTGTGCAAAGAAAGTATGGTCCAATAGCCAGGGGTTAGTGGATTTTGCTTAGGGGTATTCAAATTGCAGAAGAACATTACTGTAATCATCTTGCTCATCAAATATCTATTTTTCAGGCTAGTTAAGGTGACTTTGAGCTAGAACATGCTAGCTACAGCTTGCCCGAATGGCAAACTGTATAACTGACTTTCATTGCACCCTGGGATAGTTTAAAAATAATTATTTTATCAAAAATAAAAGAATATTTGCATCTAAATGTAACTACAATTTTGCAGTTTATTTCTTACTTTATCAGTCCACTTTCAATGAAAACATCAGCCTCGACCATTTCATCATCATTGACAACAATTCCACCCTTTATAAAGATGCGATCTTTCTGAGCCTGTAAAACAACAATTAAGAGAAGTTTGGCTGGTGAATTTCATACACATTCATGTACATGTACAAAATGGAACTCATCTGCAAAAAAAAACATCATGCTCACAACATGGATATTACAAAACTGTTAGTTATAAGCTGTGGTTTAAATTAAGTGCTCTGATTTCAAAAAACTGAACATGAAACAACAGAGAAAGAATTTTTTGCCTTCATGTTGTAAGTTACTTGTAGGTATACATGTACAATACTTGCATGGAATTGCAAAGCAAATGTACAAAGCTCAGTGGGAAAAAGAAAAGTTCTGAATAAAAGAACATTTAACACAAGCGATGTACTGTTCAAAAAAGGTAAAAACAGCAGATGGTGGTTGTTACAGAACCTTAGCAAGAATCACATCCATTATTTTTGCTCTTTACTCTACAAAACCTTGAAGTCAAAGGCTAAACAGTACAAAAAACAATGACTTCACCAGCTGGAGTATTTTAAACTACAGTGTCCTGTACTGTTTCAAAGTGAGTCATTATACCCTAATCCCTAATATAACAAGCTGCTTTACTTCAGCACATTATCTACACACACATTATACCATGTAAGGTGCATTATCAATTGAAAAAGTATTATAATAAGATAAAACATATATTGTACCCCGACATACATGTAAATTTAAGCTGCCACTCAAAGTCAAGTATAAGTGGGAAATCATTAGTGAAGCCTTTGTTTACTGTAACTACATGTACTTTCTAAAGCTGGTTTATAAAAATGACTTATTTTTTTATTTTATTAAACAAAACCAACAACGTACATGTAGTGGTGTACCACTGTATATACATCCTACATACACGACAGGATCTTTTAAGGATGCTATAACTTTTGAGTCTGTGGAAAAGTCACTGTGGTGTGACCATTCAAATGAAACCTAGATTGTATTTGGCAGTGTACAATGTTCTGTTATCAAGCACATATTTCTTTTTCAGCATTATTAATATTTTTTTTTTCGGTGGGGGGAGGGTAAATTTTGACCTGGGCCATTTCTGGGAGTGAAGTAAAAACCAGAGAAACATAAACAGTTATGAACTAAACTTTCATTTTTTTACATGGACAAAAAAACTGTTTTACAAATGCAAGTCAAGTAAGAATCTGATACCAAACATGATGTCATGAATCAAGGCACTCGAGAATGGACCATCTGAAGAAGTCCTTTTCAAGAACTGGTGCAAAAATATGGAATAGTATTCCCAACAGTGGCAGAGTTCTACCTAAATATAAATTTAAGAATACCCCAAAGAGTTGGCCGCTGAATATTTTGATACAGGAGGATACTTATGTTGGTGTGCATACTTTAATTGACATATTGAGTATCTGTTTAACTTTATTTTTATGTTTCAACCCTATTATTGTAACTTTTTTTACTTTTCCTTCCTGCCTCGATTAGCTGTAGGCTACTTTGCAGGCAAGGATTAATTATAGCATGTATCCAAAGTGTTTTTAATAAACTTAAACATGAACTTCAAAAGAGGTTACATACTTGAAGAAGACGCTGAAGCCATTGATAGAGGGACTTCAGAACAAATTCAGAGGATTATTGTAACAGGATTTTCATTAAGAATTCTAGTAGCAGGAGAAAGGTGTAACATTGCAGGGGAATATTTTGAAAGAGGCTCCACGTCTGAATAAAAACTAGTCATAGGCTACGAAACGATTGCAGGAGAATTCTGCATAGTAAACAGAGAATTCTCTGATCTCAGATGCCTAATGAACATCCTGTTGTAAAACAAAAAGATATTGAACCCTGTATCTTACTGGCTCACTGGCACATCAAATGATAATCCAACAATCCATCCAACAACAGCATAAATATTATTCTATTGTTGAATGGATTGTTCATAGAATCATGCACCTGTTTTTCACGCAGACTGCTTCTGAAGTACAACTATATCATCCTCAGACATACCTATTACCAGCTGCCAGAAGGGAGTTTTATTTACTGAATAGCATTGCTCGCTATTGTGACTAAAATACGAAGAGATGCTCACTTATTTGACCTTGCCCATCAACATTGTGAATTTGGTATTAATTTTTATTGCCTATTTCAAATAGGATATATAACAGCATCAAATATATTATTGTGTGATTGTGGTTACAAACTAAACAATGCCAAGTTCAGAATAAATATTTTAACAACATCTTTATATGCTTGAAAAATATTTTCAAAAGAAATGTTATATTTTACTTTATCATTCCACATAAGCTCAATGATGTTCTGGTTTCAGATTAAAACATTCTCATTTACAGAATCTATAAGGTTAAGAAACAGTTTCCTTTCAGCAAAAGCATTGAATAGACAAAAAAATATTGTTTATTGTTTATAATTTTCTACATTCTATACTTTGTCTGCTTGACAATTGCATGCAATATTGATAAACCATTTTTGGTGGAGAGAATTTAGATGTTCATACTATTGCAAGAAGTACCTATGAAAAGTTACAGTGAAATATGTGGCTGAAAGCTTACCCAAGAACGAAATAAACAGTTTTATACTCTTAAATGTATAAGAAGACTTAAAATCTCTGACGTATAACACCTTTAAAGAACTGATAATTGAACAGATCAAGGGCGGAAGCGTAAAATATTATAAAATGGAAAATTCACACAATAGTTATCACGCTCGACACTGATTGCGCTCACATGTACAAAAAGTCATGTAAATCACGTTCAAATAACTACTAAAATATTCCAAAACATGTCATGGAAAATAAACTCAAGAAGGCTTATGAAATGCTTGAAAAAATTATAATAATTTGACCATTATTTCAAAATCAAATAAGCTTTCATGTAAAACAGTAAATTAAAGATTGAAGACGAGGCGCTTTGTCAGGGAACAATAAACATACACAGGAACAGCTAACTTAAATAATTTATAACATGTAGCGTCTAAAAGGTTTGAAGTTGAACTTCTCTGCATAAATATGATAAACCTTCTAAGGGAACGAAAATAACATCTCTACCTTAGTGACCTGAAACGCCCATAAATCACAAATTCATTACAATTCACACGTCTTTAACTAGCGCTGAAATGTTCATGCACGCTTTCAAGCCCCAGATAATTGATGTTTACAAAAGCGCCACTCAGCCCTAATATAGATCGAAAAGATGGCAAGCTATTTACCGCATCTCATATTTTTACATGGGGTACTTGAAAGTCAATTTGCGCTACCATATTGTTGATTATCAAGGACAGCAATTTAACAACGTAAGTTTAAAAAGGATGCATCTGCAAAACGGGTCAAACACTTCGGACCCTTCAACAGCTTTGCAAAAAATCAACAATCTCGAATCGATGCGACATGGCTGTGATCACAAGTACCAATCAGTGATTTTAAACCTTTTATCGATAGTTGTGTTACTCATTGAAGCTTTAAGCAACAGTAACCGTCTACTCACCATTGCGGACGCCATTTTCGATTTTATCCTGTGCAGACTTGTGGAATGAGCTGGTCGATGAAGGTGAAAAGAAATTAGGCGCGCATAAGAGGCTCTGCGCTTGGGATTGTGGGATGGTCTAGACGTTGGACATCTGTCACGCAACGACGCGTGACAGACAGTTCAGTGGAACGGCAGTGGAACCATTTCTCGACGTTTCGCAGCTTTTTTTTTCCTCCATCTCGCTGAACAAACCGCTAGCTACGCAGGCTAGCACAAAACTTTTGCCATAACCGGCTTTCATTATATCCAGGTTTATCTTCATGACCAAAATACCTGGTGAGCTCTTCCACGAAGATGACATGACACGTCAGTGACAGATCGCGTCGACGCTGGTTGGCAGCTTTGATTCCCTGGGTAAGGGACAAAGCCTGAACAGGCTCATTTAGGAACGAGGGGAGACAGGAGAGACGGCCGCATACGTAAGCTAAGCCTGAGGAAGAGGAGCACTGGTCAGTTTTGCCAAAGAAAAAATGCCCTCTGAAATGAAGAACAAGATGATCCTGCATTCTAAGAAAAAATAGATTTAGAAATAAGAAAAAATGTTTCCTATTTCTAGCCCTCCGCCTAGACTCTCAAAGCCCGTTTACCGGGCGGGGGAGACCAGGGAAACAGCTACTCTAGGATAGGGGGGATTTGGGGAGTTTACTCTGGTATAGGTTAAGGGTTCCAGGGTCCCAGCGGCACATCCCCACCCAGAAATTCCTAAAGTACCCTCCCGGGGGCCCGTTTCCAGGCCGCCGTTAAGAGTCTACCCTCCACGGCCTCCCTCGCCAACTTATTGGGGGCGGAGGAGAAGGGGGGAGTTGGGCGAAATACAAAAAAATACTGATTCGCGCGTGGGATAATTAAATGGAAAAAAAAATCCAAGCACACCAAATAACCCTAATACATATTCATGCACTGGCCTAAAAGACATCGTACAAGGGAAATGTTCTTAAACGAAAAAAAAAAACAAATCTTGAAAAAACTTCATGCAGCCCTAAAATTCCCCAATCAGTCCCCCCCGAAATTTTGTGATGGTCCGTCCCTTGCCGTGATCTAGATGCTATTTTTTTCCCCAAACAGAGAGCCTGAGATTAGGCCACCTCATTTGTTCGTAAGTTGACGTTCCTTTCTATAAAATTCATTAATTGATGGCCCGATCCGATCAGTCACGGAATGATCCTGGGTGGTAACTTCCGCCCAGTTCCTTCTCTCCGAGACTGTCATTGAATTCATTTAGAAAACAAACTGCTTCCAAGCAAAAACTTTTTTCTCCCTTTTTTCCTAGTTTGCCGTCTGTTTCTTCCTTTATGGCTTTCAAGTAGCACTACTATACAGTCATTGTGTCCTTTATAAGATCAAATTCCCACTGCAAGCTATTACTGCCCTACAATCACGCCAAAATGAGACGAGAATGTGCATGAAAAATAAGTTTTTACTTTGCAATTTGCCTACTAGGAATCAGATGGAGAGGTCATATAGTATCCAAAATTAAATTTTGCGAAAAAAAATTCAACTTTTGTTAGCCTGTGTCATAGGCAACTACTTTTTATGGAATAGATTAAAGCCACAATTGTTGGGAAAGGACTGCAACGGCGCAAACTCACGATACCCCCTGAATTGGGCACCCCCTTCCAAAGATCTTCCATAACCTCGATTCCTATGAATAAAAAAAAAAGGAGAAATAAACATGACAATGAATAATAATTAATTAAATAATAGTCAACTGTTGGTAACGGACAGTGAAGGGGAAACAAAGCGTATATTTAAATGGCGAAAATTAGCAACATCCGGTCCGACCTATTAGTTTTGACAGAGATCCTCTCTTGGTTAAATTGGAATTTGTACAATTGCACTTGACAGTCCATTAGTCCATTGTGTTTTCTCTATTTTAGTATATCATCCGACTGGTTTGATCACTCACTCTCACGATCGAGTCATTGGGGCGCAGTGGCTTCTTTGCTGTTTGACTAAGCCAATTAAGACAGCTACGGCCCTTCATCGTGGATCGGCAGGAGGCTAACACCGGTTGAAGACTCTCTCCTTGGTCACAAGACGATAAGGTAAGTTATCACGAATTATCTTCTCTAAAAACGTAACACCTATAAACCACCTCATACAGTGGTTCTCTTAGACTTCGGATATAGGGAAGTAAGCTAAGGTAGACGAATCGAGTTGGCTGAGAAAAAATAGACTGAAAAAAAAAATTAACCCACCTTATAACAGATTGTTTTGCATTCGAATATTATAACAGATAAAGAAAATGTGCAAAATCTTAGAAGTACCCAATAAATAATATTCTCGCACTCGTGACTAGTCGGAGACTGACACTGAGTTTATCTCTTTTTTTATGCTTTCTGTTCATACTGACTGGTCGAACTTTAAAACATAATCGTCAAAAAATTATTCAAACAGAATAAATCACTTATGGCCAATTATGCTACAACTATACAGAGTTAACGCCGACGCCTTTTTCAAAGTCAGGCGATATGTTTGTGCGGTTTGTCAAAGGCTACGAATACGGGTTAAAGTCTATCTCCGTCTACTAATTTCCTAGTTTTCAACTTAACAGAGAAACACGTTTACAGTACAAAGATTAATCCTGGCCGTATTATCTTTCAAAGGTCAAAACAGCAAATCGTTGTTTGCGAAAGCATTAGTCATTATAGCACGTGCTAAACTTTTTGCACACTGAAACGGTAAATTAAAAATTCATTTATTATTACACACCTCGAACAGCAACAAACGCGGTCAATTTGTCAGTGCGATATATTAACTCTTGTGATTTATGTTTTTAAAAAAATGCTACGATTTTTTTATTTTGTTTATTTAATCTTCATCTTATGTAGTGAACAACGTGGGTTGTCCCAGAGTTTTCAGAGTTTCTTTATTGCGCATGACACGTACCTATTTCCGGATTAATAAAAGAGCAATTTGGGAAAAGTCATTTAATTTTAACCGGCTCATCAGGAAAGATTTGATACTGCGCGCGGAAACTAATCTAAGCAGCTGACGTAAACGATTTCGGTTAGTTCTTCACATCTCGGCTGATTGTGATGTAAGCATTTTGTTCGGTTTATTTAATTTTCAGGGGCTTCAGAGCTGCTTTAAATGGTCTGCAATGGAGGGAACCCCTTACTTAGTGGAAGACGATTCAGAGAGTGGACTACCATCTAGCAAGAAAGAAGTTAGTTACGATACATTTGGCTTTTCCGACGATTCTGTACCAACAGCGGCTAAAATTAAGGATGAGCAAGATTTAAATTACTTCAGAAACAAGTTGAGTTTATTGGAATACTCACTTGAACAGCAAAGAGCCACTTCCAGTTACCTGAGGGAAGAAAGGGATGAGGCTATCACTCTTAACAGCTCACTACGACATGAAGTCGAAGAACTTCGCACTGAGGTACACCGCAAGGGGAAATCAAGGTCTTCTAAACTTCCGCAATGTAAAGAATGTGAAGTCCACAACACAGGTATTTTATTTAACATAAATTGAGAGATCTCTTACATCATGATTAGTTAAAGACATTCACAGATTTTTTTTTTTTTTTTTAAATTACTGTTTACTTATTTTAACGGAGCAAATTACCAACTGCAAGACAAAGAGGAAGAAAAAAAAGTAATAAATTTTGTCTCATAAGAACTGAGATGGATACTCGATCTATTTCTTCACGATTGAAGTGCGTGTTTTTTCTTTTTTTAAATGTTTAGCAATGCTCCAATTTACAAAGAATAGCGACATTACATTTTAAATTGACTATCTATTGGCGCGTGCGTCAGTTTAGAAACTGATTTGTTACGGGAAAGTGGTAGAATGCATATCTTGGACTTTGAACCTGAACCAAACCGATATTTGTTCGTTAATAGGAAACAAAACACCGGCTTTGATCTTCCAGTATAATATCAAAGCTATACTTTACTCTTGAGAATAAGAAAAAAAAAGCTTTAAAGGAGGATAATGGCTTATAATTCTTAAAAGTCCTATAATTTCCAGACGTTTCGGGCCTGGCCTCGGTTTGCTACTTTGTGCCGTTTGAACTTCAACCGATGTTATGGTAACAGTCAAGGAACGTTGGAATCCTCTTAACTTCATGGGGCTTTGCACGAAGATCGGGAAGGTACTCCCCATAATGCCATATACGAGCAGGCTTCGCCTAAAAGCTCGGGTTCCTTTTTCCGACTCCAGGAATCATTCTGTGGGATATGAAAGTGCAGGAATTTCACTAGTTGAAGTATATGAAAGAGTAGCGAAATCTGTCATTCATTCATCAATTCAAGGGCTATCAGCTAAACAGACGAGTTTAATGAATGTTCCGTTTTGCACAGTTAGACGATCAAAGTTCTAAACTATAGGTTTGTGAAAGGGGTATCAGTTGTCAATAGAAGGTATATAAGGGAGTGCCTATTCTGTCAAAACTGGAACATATAAAGTAGCCCTCCCCCCCCCCCCCCCCCCCGGGGTAGGAGAGCACGAAGCCGCCCTAGTGGGACTTCATGTTCGTATACATTTTATAGACAAGCTCCCTCCTACTAAAGGTTGGAATAGAAATGGTTCGTAGACACTCATATTTAGATTCATGTCTTGTTGAAAAGCTGATAATTGGCTAAGAGTACCGCTGGTGCAAGGAGAAACATGAGAGTCCGAAGACATCCTGAAACGAAGAAGCACGTCAGATAAGCGTTTCTGATAGCTTGGCCGGAAGGGTCGAAATCAATGCAAAATCGCTCGTATGGACGCGAAGCTTTGGTGTGGAGAGTGCCTAATACACTCAACTCCGTTCGGTATTAATGAAAAAGCGCAGCGTCTTCGATCCTCATTTGAGATCCCCTTCCTGTGCCATACTAGAGCATTTTACGCTTAAGTGGAATAAAATAATCGGATTGGAAAACTATGAAGCCTGATTCTAAGATGTTTTTTTTGTCATTAGGACCTTTAAAGGAAGAGCAAACAGTCCTGGATTGTATGCTCGGTTTGCCAAGGAAATGTGTTCGTGGCTTAGTCAAAAGGGCAGGGTTGTTCATTTGGTGGACAGGTGTTTGGACAAATGAAGGTGAGGAGCTTTGTAGCTAACATAAAGCCAAACGAGTTCCTCAGCCCATAAGGGAAGACATATAAGTAATGATTGGGTTGCCAATCTTCCTTAATCGTGCACAGGGTATGGGTGCAAAAAATCAACAAACTGACAAAAATGCATTGAATATTTGTGCTAAGGGGAAAATATAATGGATTTTTTGGATTACACAGCGACGGGGAGAAAAGAAGGAGCCCTTACGGAACAGTATGGTGCGATCGTTTTATGGATCACTTCTCTGTGCCACTCCTAAGTGACCTAATACATTGCAATTGAGACACAACTGATGGTTTCATTTTAGAGTTAAGAGGATTGTTGCATTTTAACGAGTGTAATAAATTTTTGAAAAAAAAGTGTCTCGTTAGTACACTAATATTGATGAGTGGTAAACTCGATTTAACCCTTCGATCTAGGCGGAAAAGAAGTTGAAGTTTTAGCATATCATGTAGCTATTTGTTAAAAAAGAAACCCAGGGTCATTCAGGGTGAATATCAACCTTCAGTAAATGCGCACTAAACCTAGATGGAGATATGTTTCGGCAGCCCCGAGCCCGTTTGCCTAACTTGTAACTGTTTGTGAATACCTTCTAAATTGGTTTTATCTCGCCAGTTACGGTTTTTAAACATGTTACTCCTGTTATGTTTCATTTAGATTATTTGATTGTGGTTATTTCATTAGTATACGCGCTTCTATAATCTAGCTACAGACTCAGTCAGGGCTGAATGCACTTCCATAATAAGCGCTAAAGATTTACAAATTTGCAATTGGCCTGTCCTCATTTTAATATTGTTTCGTGTCTTGGAATGCATTATGCACGTTTGCTTTAGACAAAAAGCGTTTTTTTAGAAGTTGTTCTAATGTAAGCCGAGTTGCACTCTATTGTTGTTGTATTTTCTTTACAGGTCTCGCAATGTTGCGAATTGAAAATAAGTGGGTGGAGATGCAGCAAACAAAAATCGAGTTAGAACAAGAAAATGCAAAATTGGTCCAGCAAGTGTACGATCTACAAATACAATTAACGGAGAAAGAAGTAGAAGTTATAAGAGAAATTGAACGTAACAAAGAGCTTACAAACAGACTGATCAAAAGAAATGGCGTTTCTTGCGACAGGAATCGTCCGTGCGAGAAAACAGCTAAACACGTTAATGCTGTGGCGGATTTTTCTGAGAGTTTAGGTGAAGAAGTTGAAAAAATAAAAGGAGTAATGGATCGAGGGCTTTCTAAGTTCGAAAAAGTTTATCTTGAAGTTGATCGTTTAAGTGAAAGCCAGAGGTTACTTGAAATTGCTGAACGCAACCTCGATAAAAGAGTACAAGAGCTGGCGGAGTCCATTACGCATGACTGTCCACATTGTAGCGCTGGATCATCGCAGGCGCGTGAAGTCACGGGAATGGATGAAACCGATAAGGAGAAAGCTGTTTTGCAACACAAGGCTAACTTAGAAATAACTTCAGTTCGCGGCGATGAAAGGAAACCAGCAAAAGCTATGAAAATGTTTAAGCGCGCTCTGCCTTCTGTATATGGAGTATTTTGCTGTAGTTGCCGCGCGTTAGTTTTGTTTTTGCTCACATTTCTAGTCACAGGTGTTCTGTTTCATTTTCTGTTAGTTTCCAGTAGTTTTAGATTGCCATCCTCTCCAGCAGAGGATTATTACGGCGTCGATTTATTTGCGTTGTGGAGTTATTTTATCAATTGGTTGTTTTATCTAATGGTGACTATTTAACCTTTCAAATGATCATTGGATAGCTCATCAGACAACTCAACGCCGGGACTCAACGGAACCCTCTTTGAAGCGTGGTCCAAAATGCCCGAAGGAGAACAGTAGCAAGTTGCTTAATTTGCATCAGTGTCAAATGGATGTAATTTAGATATTGATATTAATTTAATTCTTAATGTCGTTAGAATAAAACAAGCAGAAGTTAACTGTGGCCTTGTTTATTAACATTATCCATCCATCATGATATTTCATATGAATCATATGAAACTATATCGTCACCACTGTCACAGGGATCTCCATGCGATCATCATTAGTATTATTATTGATATTATTATTATCGATCTATTTAATGATATTTCATATAAATCATATGAAACTATATATGAAATTGTCATCTTAACGATAAATTTTACAAGTTATGGTGACTACTGCCCCAAATTATGAAACGGTGTGACTGATAAAATTGTAACCCTTGAAACACCACTTTGCTTGAGAAAACAGCTGACATTTTGAACGACTCCACCACTCTGGTTTTCCCGCGAAATGTGTTTTGAGAAACGAACGTAGAAATTCCATCGACTCGTGCCAGATCTGGATAGTGCTTCTGATTGGTTGAAGCAAATGTCCGACCCGACGCGACCAATCTGAAGCACTAACACCCAGATCTTGATAGTGACTAGCCTGTTCCAGGCTTCGAGAAAGTCGGGTCCGCGGGGATTATGAAAATAAAACGAGTACCTTTCACTTTCGCGTCTTCCCCACTCTTTCGCGTCTTCCGCACTATCTGAGAACCTGGAACGGGCTAGATAGTGACGCGATTCTCAGACGTCATTTCGCAGGGTAACCAGCGGTGGCGTAGTGAAATGTCCGCTGTTTTCGCAGGCCGTTGAACTGCTTCTTTGAGTTCCTAGGCCCTTCATGTCTGTACTACACTCGCTGACATGGTTGACATGAATGTTTACCAAGTAATAGCCACTGTTGTCAAATGAGAAAAAAATCGGGGGCAACCAACGAGAATATGGTTCAAAACCACTTAAACATTGCATTGTTAAACGTATTTTAGTATTTAAACGGTAGATATAGGCACATTTTTATCTCCCAATTTTTTTTATCAGTTCGGATTTCCAAGCTGAACGTCTAGTGATCCGAAAATTATAGGGACCAAAACTTTCCTTTTCGAAAATTCAGCAAGAAAAAAAGGCTCCCGAAAATTCCAGGTGACCTTTTTAGGATAAAAATCCCGTTAAAAATGGGTAATTATGAGACAGGCAAGCAAGAAATTTTACAACAATGTTCCGAAAATTCTAGATCTCAAATCGTCTTCCGAACAGATATTTTCCGAAAATTGACGTTGGGTGCCCCTAAAAAAATGGAAGTAACTAAAAAATATGTTATTAACAAAACGTTTGAGTGGGAAAAAAGTGAGTTGATCTGTGAAACTAAGATATGTCTATTGCTCGGGGGCTGGGGTAGGTTGGTTACTCAATAATGTTTTATACGGGAAGACTCCGCCCCGAGGTTAAACCATACCATTTTTGACAGAAAAAAGTACCCCTTCGTATACAATCGAACCTCTACTAACGGCCACCTCTCTACAACGGCCACATTTCTGGCAGACAGTCCATACATTGAATCTTCTTTAAACCTCTCTACAACGGTCACTTTCTTCTGTTCCCAAAGAGGCCGTTGTGGAGTGTTCAACTGTACCTAGTTCATGGTACACCCCTTTAACTTACATACTTAATAAGAACAAAATCTCTAAAACTGGAAGAATTTTTGTCATTTTCGTTTAACATTTAATAAAATAAAATGACAAAAAAAAAAGGGAGCGTATTTTCCAACATTTTAATCAAAGACCCTCATAATACCTAACATTAGATTATCCTAGCTATCCTTTCACATACTGCAACTCATGAATTCCCTAACATTTCATACATTTATACCTGAACGAAGCCTAAAAAAGTTGCTCCTTTCGGGCTGATCTAGTAAATGCCTTGTACTGTATCATAAATGACTATTGATTCTAACGGTAGTTACCAAGTGAACTAAACTAGGACATGTTCTTCCTCTTTCCCTGCGTTATGTCTTAGTTAAATCCATTAAGCACCGTTTCAACGAGCAACAATTTCGTGGAAATGCCACGGTATTAATTTTCACTTAGTTTTCCTATGAAAAGAAAATATATAACACCACTAGAACCATTGCAATACAGGACATAATCAACTTTGTGCAATGGAGTTCTATTTTCTTTCCTAAGATAACGATCTTATTGTGCTGAAAAATAGAACAGCCATGACACTTTGCGTGCAGCCCAAGTAATTCGACCAGCAGTTGGTCGAGGCGTTCCAAGTCGCTATCCATTTTAATGCATCTATCAGCCTGTTGTTTAAACCTGTGTTCAAATATCCGGTACTGCTGCTTTTGCTGAAGTAACTCGTTGCTTCGTCTGTCCAGCAACTTTCTCAGATCTTTAGGGAAGTCTTGGAAGCCTCTTCGCTGAAATGGTTTCCACAGTGATGAAACAGGTAAACTTCCTCTACGTGTCTGGGAAGGCACAAAATCGTCTTCACCTGATTAGGCAAAAAACTGCGTAAGCCTCCAACCTTCTTTCCGCGAGGGGAGGGTGGTACTCCCAAGTAAAGGTGGTTGAGATGCTCGCTAATACCCTTAAAGGAGCGAGACTAATTTGGGCGTGGTTTAAGCCTTTATCTGATCTTAAAAGGAGACCCTACTCCAACCCAGTGTGACAATATTTGACAATGTTTATGTGGATATTTCGCTACTTACAGCCCTAAGTAATGCCTTTATGTCTAAAAAAATTGGCAATTAATCAGGTCCTGAGCACCCTAAGTAATACCAAAATCTGTACTTTCTACCCCTAAGCGAAACGACGAGCATCCCCAGTCAGATCTCTTTTCAATGCATAGAAGTCCACCACGGGAAACTTCCTGATCTATCAAGATATCAGAAAGGAACAATTTGTCTCACCTGAAGATGATCGAGGCTAACTAAAGTACTGAAGATTTTTATTGTAGATCTTACTCAAAAATATATATTTGGCTACAGAAATTTATTCATCGACAATAACTGGACCCAGGGCTTAATCCATTTTTATGTGCAAGCCATGTTATTACAGTTGTCGTAGCTCAGTCGTCGTTACAAGTAGAGGCTTCAAGTTACAATCCGTTTCGGTATAGAGTGTTTTCTCGTGGCCAGCATCCGTGATGCAGATGCGTTTGGTCAAAAGATAGTTTTTACATTAAAAAAAATAATGTTCAACTTCCAAAAGATTTGTTTGGAACACCAACTGACACTGGCATGGAGAACATATTTGCCTGCCATAACCCGTAGGGTCTCTAGCTAGTGCTTGTGTCACAGCTGGAAATGAATATACATGTCTTGGCTTGGGCCAAGCTATTCGAAGACGCTCGGAGATCGGAAGCAAATTTAACCCTCGGAAGAGGTTTTTTCGGAGTTGTTAGCTAGACGATTAGACATTAGCACCTGACGTTTTCAGTAGCCGTTTGTTCATCTCTCACACGCATTTTGAGACAAGTTATGATCAGTTTCTATGGTTACGAGATATGACTTCAAAATATAGTTTGTGGATAAAATGAAGCAAAGCACTTATTTATGTTTTATTTCACATGTCAGGCACAAAAAATAATAAAAAAAAAGATTGCCAATTCTCGCTGTTTTTATCTGATTTCTAAATCTTGGTAAAATCCAAGATGGCGACCATGTTTAGTGACGTCACAGGCCTTCAGCCTTGGCACCACCCATAAAATATACCTCATCTTGTCCAGAAAATTAAAGGCTTTCCACTAGAGGTAAAATCTTTTTGAAATATTTCAACGTATCAAAAACTCTAGGGAGGAGTTCCATCAACCCTCCCCTTGTACCACGGTAGGGGCTACGACTTTGCGTGTGCGCCCGAGGGTTAAGTTTAGTTACCACGACAGCTTAAACTCTCGTTTTTCTGCTAACATCTAGGCCCAGGCTTACCAATAAAAGAGCAATACTATAGACATCGAAACTGTTAAAAGTGTTTTTCACTAGGAGTGTTGTTTGTCTTCAAAAGAAAGCCAGATGCCTCGGCGTTTGTATAAAGCAACGTTGAAATGAGGGAGGGCGTTTTCCTTACGCAAAGTCATTGATTTGGAAATAGCCTTGTTGCGTATGGTAGAGGGAAAATAATGAAAACAAACATTCTCAAGTACTGTTAGGGATTGTAGTAAATTACTCTTCGCAATAAATTACCTTTCTCTTGTTTTCCATCTGTGATCTCCTTATCGTTTTCCTCTTTACAATTCTTTTTTATCAATGCAGCCGAAATCGTTTTTTCTTTTAGAAGCTCATTATTCAGCCTTCTCACTTCCTTTTTTAGCTGTTCGTTTTCACTCTTCTCTGCATCTCTCTCCTTTTTCATCTGATTTGCTTTACCCTCCTGTGTTGCCATCACAATTTCCACTTCCGACAGTTTTCTTGAGAGACGCCTAATGCAAACCTCGGCGCTGTCATGATTTGAATCTATCGTTTGTTCTGTGGACATTGTATTTACCAGCTGTGATCTGAGAGTAAGAAAAAAGACATCAGGCGTAAAAAGGGTTAGGAGATTGGGAGGAAGGAAAAAAAGGAGGAGTATATCTAGGGGCGGGGAGAGAGGGTTATAGTTTTAAGACTTAGTGGGGCAAAAATAAGATTTACTCAGTCAAGGCCAGTTTAGAATGCTAGTGTACTGACCTACGCACTAGAGAGAATAGAAAAAAAACCTCTCTTTGTTGAAGCAAACTCTAAGGTCACGTTTCACATTATCACGAGCTGAGCTTATGACTCGTGTTTAGCCTTTGACTGCAACACGTTGTTTGATTCCTCTCCCATTTTCACTGTATCGGTGCACCGTTAGCCGGCAAGTTTCTAATTTAATACATCATGTTTTTGGAATAAACATAACCGTACAAGAAACACCTGTGTGATTAAGTTTGGTGCAATGGGCCAACGTATTTAGCAAATCCTTCCCAAGTGCATTATATTAATTAACAATTAGTTCATGCGTCAGCGTGCGTATGTCGAGATATTGAGCACGCGGGAAGTTTGGAGAGCACGAAAGAGGCGCAGCCGAGTGCAACTTATCAAAGCGATCAATGCATCAGTTAACTTAAATTTTATTATTGTAGGGCGCGCTCAAAGCAGTAAGCGCCAATGTTTGTGAGTATATTTTTTTTCCTCACAGTTAAGCTTATGTTTTTATCCTGAAACTGAGAGAAAGTGTATTCTAAAATGATTGCAAAATCCATATTTAGGTGCCGGAAAACTATTAATTCACCGAAAAATTGTTATTGAGAGAAAACAACTTTGCAAAGAATGATCTCACGCCATAGCCCGCACAGCTCGTGGAGATGACAACAACAACAACAACAACATTCACCTATCCTTACTATCGGTTCACAAATTCGAACGTTTCCTCTTAAATTTCTGAAATTTCCTTATAAAACACATGGTAAACGCTTTATCGTGTACTGCCGAGTTATGGATGCACTCAGGAGACTCAGGATTGCTAAGTTATTGATGTCATCAGCGTGCTCAATCATGAAGCACGCTCGCGCTTTTGAATTTGATTAGAGGAATTTTCTAGCTATGTTATAATAGACATTTACATATGATGTATCACTCTTCTTCTATCTTTTCTTTCATTCCTTTGTGAGATTTGTTACAAGTTACGTGACCGGCATTATCCACTGAACAGCTTACTTTGATAAACCAACCGCCCCAGTGTCACAGTCCGGTTGACCGGGCTTCCCTGTTTCCGAGATCTCGCTTTACCTCTGAATCCTTTGTAAAATTTTTGATGTGTTCATATGGGGGGGGGGGACTGGCTCGGTTCCCGAGAACTCGTTTTTTCCAACCACGATCTCTCGATCTCTGTAGAGCTGGCTGGAAATTTTGCCATACGAACAGTTCAACCCTCGATTACCGGGATGAAAGCGGGATGAATTCTGGCCGTTCGGATGGTATCGTCTCATGAGTTTCTCATGAGAACCCAAGGCGAAATTGGTCCCGGTAACCTGGCTAGCGCGGTCAACCAGGTTTGCGTGAAGAAGCCTTAATTATAACTAGCAAGAATAAACCAACTAAAGCTACAGGAAGTGTAATTAGCAACTGTGCAATTTGTTTGGCTTTTTAAATTCATTTTCCTTTTTATTTCATTTTGTAAAATTAATCATTTCTTTGCTGAAAGTGAGGTTGTGGTAGAGCAATTTTATGAAAGAGAAATGCTATTTTCACAGCAATACCTTTGTCGGTTTCAAACTCGCAAGATAAAAGCTTTTGTAGAATATGGAGAAATCCCCCTTCACATACGGTATGGTTTATACAGGCGCAAAGTTGTACCATCCACGACAAAACAGCTTTCCTCTTAAATAATTAACATCTTACTTGCCGTTTTTGCAACTGTGAGCAAACTAAAATAAGAAAATTGCTAGTTTGACTATAGCAGAAGAATGAATTAACGCTTGAAAAGCAGTTGCTGTCATTGAAAAATCCGTCTTCGCCAATTTATTGCGTTTGTCCACTCGATAATGCGATTTCACATGTATTATCATAATACATGTGCTAAGAAAAGGAATTATTATGGTTATTGATATTTATGTTAATCGCTCAAAAACTGGTTAGATTTATTTCTTCAAGGCTGTGCTGAAACACATCCATGAAAATTCTTTACCAAAATCTTGAATCGTGGGAGGTGTACAAAAACTGAACCACAAAATACAACCTAGAAAAAACTGGCGAAATAAAATTAAAAGAAGTATAGAAAAATTAATGCCATGAAAATAGGTGAGAATATTCTAACAACAACGGCAAGCAATTCCCTGAGTGATTTGTCTACGATTCGTAATAACTTCTAATTATTGTTTATAGATCCTCTACTGATATTTGAAGCGTTAGATAAAGAAAACTTCAACTAAAAATTTAATCACCTTAGTGATATTTTAACCACCGTTATTATTAAAAGTCTTCATCTAAACAGTTTCTAAATACATCATACCTCAGTTAGCGAGGGAAAGGAAAAGTAGAGTCAATTTTTTTTGCATAATTAGCACCCTTTAAACATATTCCAAGTCATTCTTACCTATTTTCACAGCAAAATTAAAGATCCTTTGAAAGAACGCTAATGTCGAATAAAACTCACTTGCAACAGCGGGTTTTTAATTATTTCTACAAGCAGACGCGTCCTCATTGCCAAGTATTTGACGTATAACTGACAGGTGGTTGTAAAGCAAGACGAGCAGGAAAAAGCGAATAACAAATGTGATTTTTTAAAGATACTTCATGGAACGTCTTTGATGTCGGAAACACTGTCTCTTGAAGTTGTCAAATTGTACTCCAAAATATTGTCAAGAACACAAACATATATTGGGATATTTTGTGAATTATAAACCAAGTCACCCTATTTTGGACTATTATGAAGTGGACTTACAACCCCTCTTTTTTTAAAGACAAATAAAAGCAAACAAACAACAGCAACAACAACTAAAACAAAACAAAAATCAAAACATATAAAAACAAAAACAGAATAAAAAACAGAAACTATAAAAACCTTATAGTATTTTATGCCGTATTTAAGTTGTGTCAATTGATAAAAAAAGGTGCTTTTAATAAAGTTGATACGTTTCAAGGGCTTTTTTCTTTTCTTTGCGATTTTATCTATAGCTCCCCTTGCAAAACAAAAGCACCAATTTCGATACAAGATGCTAAAATTTTAACTCTATTTTTAGTGCATGTCCCGTGTTCACATTGGCTGGCATTTTCCCTATAAAGTCAAGAATAGTTAGAAATTAACCTGGTATTTATGCCATACCAATGAATAACTGATTAATATAAACTCCAGAAAGTGTTCCGTTTACTAAAACGATTAGATTGGACGGAGGTAAATTATTATAAAGATAATGCAAAAGGCATTTTTTACAACTCAGAAACAAAAATGTAAATAATGCAGCAACAACGGTTATCCGTTTACCCACAGTCACTTGAGGGCGGTTGATCATATCTACTCATTACGAAATGCTCTTAACATCGATTTGAAATTAGAAAGGATCTCAATGTTTTATCTTTTTTCATTTATCTATTTGTTTCTACTGTTATGGAGATGAAGGGAGAAAAACTGGAGCTTCCTATATGTAAATTAAAAGCATGTGTGTGTTCTTTCCACTGCCCTATCTTTCTCCCCTAGTGACGTCACTTAACTTTTATTGTTTAGCTATAAACAGTAGAATTTGCTGGGAGAGAAAGCAACCAACAATCGTTAGTGGAAGGCACTTAATCCCTCTCTTGAGAGGTCCTCAACAGTGAATTGGACAAATTAGACCACTGTCCTTAATTTCAAACTTCCTAGACTTACCCGATAAGAGGCTGTAAATGGGTTAACTAATACCAGGAGCCTATTAATACAGGAGTTGAGAATCGGCCAAAATTTTATCAGCCAGCGAATTGAACGCAGAATTAACTGATAGCTGAGAAGTAGCTCTGAGACGGATAAAATTCCCCACAGTATCTTTTGGATATCATGTTGCAAATAAGCCAGTTTTAGCATAGTTTATCTTAGTTAACGACTGATGGGAACATCGCGATACGTTACTGAGCCCCTTTAAGGGGGAGGGGTGTAGGAATGTCCCTCGTCTGAATTTCAAATACGGTAACTTATTTTATTTGTTTCATTAGCTTCACCTATTACAAGATGGGCAGGGAAAAAAGGATAATAAATATTTTCTGAAACAAAGAATAATAAATACTTAATTTAGCAGGTCGTTTCGCTTTTTGAGGAATAGCCTATGTCCCTGTCGGTATTTAATTTAACCCATCTTTAACCCGTCGTTTTTCTTCTCGAAATACTTGGCTACGAGTGAAGTACGTAAGGCGCTTATGCTTCTCTCGCGCGTCGGTGAGGTACGAAAAACTTATTGGCTCTTGACGAAAAGCAAGGATTGTCAACAGACACAAAGAAGAAACTCACGGAGGGTTTGCCATCTTGGTCGGTCTCTTCCTCGTCTAGCTCACACCCTGAGCTAAGATCTCATGGAGTGTGCACAGGCCTCCAGGCCAATTCCTTGTTGGGAGGGGGTGTGGGGGATGGGTGCTGCAAAAGCGTGGTACTGTTAGTAAGTCTCTGAGGAATATTTAATGACCATCTGTCAGATTTAAGTTTGTCAAGCCATCTCCTCTACATGTTTCATGCTCATTGGCTAACGAAAGGGTGCCTTGCACCGATGCGCTCAGCTGCGAGGCTGTGTCTGGTCATAGGGAGAGTGTCGTTTTGAATTCGGGTGGTTCACAGTGAGGCCTTAGGGAAGCACCAGACTCAGAGGGGAAAAAAACTGCGGTGGGAACTTTATCAAACTGCGAGCGCGTTAAATCATCTCAGCGATTAGGCCTTTTGAGATGGGACCTCGGAGTTAAACTAGAAAACGGGCAATTTTGCCAAAAAAGACTTATTCCCATGCCAGCTCTGAAATCATAATTCGTTACCATAACAACAGTATTAATCGAGACCTTGCCAAAATGTTTCTAAGTAATAACTAGACAGCAGCTAAAGTGAATGGTAATTCTGCCTTAAATTCCCCGGATATGAGATAAGGGGCGATTGTGTTTGAATGCCACGAACAAGTTTGGGGTGTACTAGAATTGGATTGATCACTAAACTTAACTTATAGAACTCTAAAATATACAGATTTATCCAGGGCTAAAAGCGAGACATAAAGAGAGAGTAATGGGACTTATAACCACTGCAAAGAAATCGGTCTTGAATAAAAGAGCTTTCCAGACCCGGTAATTATTGGGACTTCCAAGAAACGGGTCTCTAAGGATTTCAACGTTGAAAAAATGGAACTTTAGCCCAAGATTAGTTGAAAACTAGTAACTGGTCAGTGGAAAACTTAAAAACACGTGATCTCTATGGGTTTACACCTGCGCCAGCAGTACGGTCATGTGATACTGGTCAGTAAATACCCTGTTTTGACAGCTACCAATTGACGATAACATGGATGCGCAATGTCAATCTGAAGGCTCCCACACCTGGTGCTAGAAAGTGTGGCCAGCAAATTTTCTTGGGGCTACGCTAGTGCGCGGTTCGCGCGCGCCTGAAGCTCCGCCATAAGCAGTTTTTATCCGATAATCTATTAATAACAATATTGATAATCAAAAAGATGCCAGTCAGGAACTATGTGCATGCCATATAATTTTATGCTGAAAACTTGCAACAATTGTTTGAAGTAAGAAGTAAGGATCTTTGAGTTATTTTTTCAAATAAACCAACGTAGATAAGGCAAAATCTAGAAACAGACTGCAAACTGTTATTAACCTATTTTGTGTATACGCAGGCTCCTGGTATACGCTATACTAACGGTTTTACAAATGTTACAGTAAAGTATTTGATTTAATCAAACGTATTTGAAAAAGCTTTTTTTTCCTTGTTTTCAGAAGCCTAATATATGATAATTAAACTGTAAGTGGCCCTCGGGTTGCCTCTCTTCTCCACTTTTCAAGTTTGGATTGATTCTAATCTTAATTGAAAGATCGATTTGTATTAAGTTTAGGTCATTCAAATTTCGCAAACTGGCCTATTGATAATATATAGCCCTCCAATTTTTACATTACTCTGATCTCAAAAGAAGACGCATGCCCTCCTTAGTCAAGGGATACTTTCTGAATGACAATAAGGGGAGTAAGGTTCAGCTTTTTCGTATATGATTCACTCCCCCCTCCCCCCTTAACCCTTTAAACCCTAAGATCAAAATTTGAATTCTCATTTGTTGCCCCTTTCATTTTCTACAGAAGTAGTGGAGAGAAGGTGATTAAATGTTAAGCAAATTCATCTTGTGTGATCATGTCCGAAATTCTCGTGACCACTCTGTTTTACAAAGCATTGATTTTATAAGGAGAAATTTGATGCTGATCACTCTTAGGTTTTGAAGAGTTAAACGTCGATCAAAGTGCGCCTTCACTAAGGAGGCAACTCAAGGGCATTGGCAAAAGCGCTAGCTACCAGTATTTCACCCATTAAAATTGAGAACCATATAGCTATCTTTATCTTTGAACTAGACTTGTGGTAAATTAATAGTTCATTAATTTTATTTCAAAATAGAAAGTGCCAGCAAAATGGAAAGCGCCCTTTTGATTTCGAATTCTTTCCAAAGATAATTATGGACTAGAAATGTAAAGTAGCACCTTTAAAGCCTGTGGAAAGAATCCCGTGGCGTGGCCATTCAAATGAAATCTTCAAACTATTGCACTATTCCATTTATTCTTCCAAACTGAATTGGAAAGTTCCGAAAGAGTTTCCGCAATATCAACCAAAAATCACGTTTTTCCCTTGAAGCATGCATGGCAATTGGTATCGTTCCAATATGGCGATTGTTTGTCCCAGACGAGTTATGTTAACATTGTACGCCTTTCATGACAAATCATCTTCAAGTGTGGAGTCCCATTTTTATATGTTAGAATAAAATAAAGATAGAATTGAATAAAAGTTTTACTTTCTATCTTAGTGCTGAATTAAAAGAATCATGTAATTTTGCAAAGTTCAGGTTAAACTTCTAGCATCTCTCTATTCAGTTTGACGATCAATTGCCCTTCATTTTCCAGTGTTGCCATGACGACTGAAATCTGGGGGATCCCAGAATCCGCGCCTTAATTTCTAGGTCCTTAAAGAGAAATAGAGACGAACAAGTACAATAGAGGAGGTATTAAATTTGTTAATAGCCTCTTGGTTTCTGCTTCTACTCGTCCAAAGAGATCAAACAATCTTGATCTGAATACTGGGTTAGACAAAAAACAAGGTAAAATCCTTTTTCCTTCCTAACTGTGGATTTTCGGGGCTCATACATGGCTTTGTTTTTGGTTTTTGTTTAACAATCGGCAAAGCTCTGTTACTTTTCTCAGATTCATACCTTGTGTGTGATAATTGTTCCCCTATAAACTTCTCCCCACATTGATTAATTAACAGCAATTAATGGGAGTGTTCTCTGGAATTTTCCCAGAGGAATTTCCCAAATCAAGACGATTCAAAAGTAGCAATTTCCACCTAACGTTAGGGCTTACAGAATGACGCAGTAGGCGTGTTTTCTGTCGTTATTGCTTGTAATAGTCAAGTGGTTGGAAACAAAACTATTTAGAAACTGCTGCACATCCCTGTTTCCTTCTTTCTCGGCTATACCAATAGCTGTATCTCCATCGTGAGTCCGCTTCACAATCATCTCTCCTCCTTGTTTGAGAAGGAGATCGGCAACAGCCACTGTTCCGTCTTTAGCGGAGTAATGAAGGGCGTTCCACCCATTCTTATCCACAGCCTGTTTGTCAGCTCCATGTGTCAGTAAAAAGTTCACTAGTTCCGGATGACTGTAGCGGGAGGCGATGTGCAGAGGAACTGAACCGTCTCCCGCTTGGCAGTTTAAAGGCATGCCAAGCCTCTTAAGCATTTCAATTACTTCTTCGTGGCCACCTTTACAAGCGTAATGCAAAGTATTCCAACCTTCGTTGTCAACTTCGTACATGTTTGCACCCCTCTCTAAGAGACAGTTAATAATGTCACCATTACCTTTTGATGCCGCACAATGCATTGCAGTAACACCTTTTTGTGTTTTCTGATTAGGGCTCACTCCATGCTCGAGAAGTGTTTCTACAACTTTCACATAACCCCCAAGGCTCGCTAGATGAATCGCCTTACATTCGCTGTTGTCACTAGCGTCTTGATTAGCTTCACGAGACAACAGAGAAATTATGACTTCAGTTTGACCAGCTTTGGCAGCCAGAAGTAATGGCGTCGAATTATCGTTGGTTAAACAGTCCACCTCTACACCCAGTTCGAGGAGAAGCTCCAGTATTGCTATATGGCCATGATGACTTGCGGTATGCAATGCGTTCCAGCCGTCATTGTCATGGACGTGTTCATTAGCTCCCTTCGAAAGAAGTAACCGCACGGCTTCTGGGTGGTCGTGAATCGTTGCAATGTGAAGCGGAGTTCTACCTTCTTTTGTTTTTGCATTGGGATCTAGACCTAGCTCTAGAATTGTTTCTATTGCGATGACATGTCCATTTTGACACGCAAAGTGTAAGACGTTCCACCCTTGGTTATCGACAGCATTAATATCAGCTCCTTTTGAAACGAGGAAGTTTAGGGCACTTGCATGGCCATTAAAGGCCGCAGAGTGAATTGGAACTAGCGCATTGTTGGCTGGGACGTTTGGCTCCATTCCGCAATTAATTAACGATTCGATCAAGTCTGTTTGACCCCCTTGGCTGGCGAAATGAAGTACAGTAACGCCTTCATTGTCCACGCCATTCAGGTCCCCACCCTGTGAAAGTAAGTATTCCAAGCATTCTTTGTTCCCACGCAGTGCCGCAATTCCAATAGGGGTTAGACCGGAGTAAGTTCCATAGTTGGGATCGATTCCCTTGTGGAATAGTTTGTCCACAACAGAAAGGTGGCCTCCTTTACAAGCGTGATGTAAGGCAGTCCATCCCTGGTTGTCCTTTGCCAGAACGTCCGAATTTTGAGACAAAAGAAAATGCAACACGTCTTGATGACCATGCCGCGCTGCAATATGGAGCGGAGTGATTCCTAAAAGTGATTGTGCATTTATGTCAACACCTTGACTAATAATTGACTCCATGACAACTTGAGGCAATTTACCACCCTGAGCAGCGTAATGAAATATATTCCAGTAGTCATTATCCGTGCCCATTATGTCGGCGTTCTTTCTCATCAAGTATTTCACCACTTCCCCCTGGCCATAACGAGCTGCAATGTGAATAGGAAGTGTCCCTTGTGAGGTTCGAGCGTTGACGTTGACTCCTGCTTTAAGTAACTCTCGAATGACAGTCAAGTGACCTCCGAGACAAGCGAAATGCAAGGCTGTCCATCCAAATTTGTCTGAACTGTTTGGGTGAGCTCCCTTACAGATTAAAAACTCCACTACCTCTGGATGCCCGTGGCAACCTGCGATCATTAATGGGGTACAACCGCCGTTTATTCTAGTATCAGCCTCCATTCCAGTCTTGAGCAGTGTTTCCACCACATCCACGTGACCATTCTGACAAGCTGAATGCAGCGCATTCCAACCGTCTTTATCAACCACATCGACATCAGCACCACAGGCAATTAGGAAGTCCACGGCTTTGGAATGACCATTTTTTGCTGCAGTGTGAACTGGCGTAGGTCCCTTTTTGAGTGGTACATTGGATTTAATGCCATGCTTCAAAAGAACTTCTATTACAGGAACATGGCCGCCTCTGCTTGCAAGAAACATCGAGTTCCTGCCATTGCCATCCACTACATTTCCGTCGCAGCCGAGTGTAAGGAGAAGGTTCACAGCGTTTTCATGGCCGTTTGATGCAGCGAGATGTAAAGGGGTAGCACCCGTTTTGGCTTTTACGTTGGGATCCGTACCATGAACCAACAAAAGTTGCATAACAGTTACATGTCCGCCAGCACTAGCCCAGTGAAGAGCTGTCCAACCTTCTTCGTCCACCGCGTTAACATTGGCCCCTAAGGAGAGCAAATACCTGACAGTATTGGTGTTACCATATCTGGCAGCTATGTGAATGAGAGCCATGCCATGAGCCTTTGCGTTAGCACCAGCTTTTTTGATTGCTAAGCGTTCGACTGTTTTAACATCTCCATGTTTGCAAGCATTCCAAAGTTTTGATAAGGTTCTTTTGTTTGCTTGGATTACTCCTCCATCGTGACAGCCTGTCACCATTATTCAGTGACCAAGCATTTTTCCTGATATCCTTTTCCAGTCCGTGTAGCTGATAAGCAATGGTACCTGAAACACAAGTTAGAATGGTTTTAGTTGAGAATGGTTTAGGAATGGGAACAGCAAAGAAATAAGGCACGCCCTTCACCATCCCCTCCCATTATCAACATAAACGTGGATCATTTGAAGCGCACTTTGTCATACTCTGCGCCCTGGATGAGTTGTGACAGCAGTGGCATCGCCTCCCTCTTTTATGTTCACCTGCAAATACTCTAACATGGAAAAGAGGAAAAGAGTATCAGTACCAATGCAGTTGAATGTCCAACGCGATAGCTCCTTGCCCACCATACGTAGAGATAGTGATATTACTTACAAACTTAGCGTCTTTATGACACATTTGCATGTACCGCACATGGCAAAATAAATGGAGCGTTTTGCAGTTTTCCTCTGCTTAATCATTTATTGGATTTGCGCGAAAGATCCAGCTATCTTTCTGTTCATTGAATAAAAAAAATTATGTTTCATATTTAAAAGGCGTTATAATGTTTGGCAGATATGCCGCTTTTTAAGTCCATTAGCAACGTACGTATGATACCAAAAAAAGGATTTACCATTTATTAGCACCAAATGTATTAGTTTTAGTCATGAATAATATAATTAAAGCCTTTTTATATTTAATTTGCTATAATTAAGAGCATGGTGTTGATTTGATGATTATGAAATGGCAAGAGTGTGTAATATTAATATAATTTAAATGAAAGTGAGAGCAGGAACTATCAAAGGGATATTCCATCTTCTTGTTCAGAAAGATTGATTTTCTGTTTTATAAAATGACTAAATTGACTGATAATAACCTACGACGTGTGTTTGTTTAATTTTTCGTAACAATTTGATTTGAAGTTATTTTAATTTCCTCCTAGGTTACCATTGCTTCCTCAATAACAGAAAATGGTAAAAAAAAAAAACGGAAAAAAGTATAACTCTTACCAATGAACAGGAAAACATACTTAGCTACAAACTGGAATCGAATACTTCTGAGAAAGATGAGGAATGACTCGAATCGATTGAAAAAATCCATCTTAACACCACGCAAGATAATTGCAATTGCATTAAAAAACATAGTGGTCAACTTTCATTACCCTGCGAACCGACTGAACTGATTAGCAAATAGATGTGAGTAATAAGTGCAATATTCGGTAGCGAATACTCCGTAGTGACAAGATGAACATAAAGCACTAGTGTCCAATTTTTTTAGCAAAATAGTGTTACGGATTCTTATTTCTATATTTTATTACAAGGTCAGTGCCAACAGTGTTAGGAAATTGATGCCGTTGTCACGAAAGAATGCAAATAAGCAGTGCGAAAAAAAGAAATATGTAAAAAGAAACTCGACAAGTACGCAATGCAATAAAGTGAAACCACAAGAAGTTAATGGATGGAAAACATACAAAGTCTAAACTGTCGCAAAATGCAAACCAGGTATTCAGTGAAACATCAATATTTTACGGCCTAAGTTATTTCCACCTAATTCAAATTTTGTTTAAGCAAACGCTCCGTATATTTTTTGTCAATATAAGTTCAAATGGAGTAATTTATTCAAACGGGAATAAATCAAAATGGCAGGTCTTCACTTTATTTACACAAAATACCTCACAAGCGACCTCTTCCACTTTAACAATTTGACTAGTGATGGTGGATAAAGATTTCAGGAACTTGAAAAAATGGAAGGGTGATTTCTTTTTGTATTGGCAAAATGACTTTCTTCTTGCAGCTGAAGGAAATCGAATTCATAATGGTTATTTTTAGGCCGGTTTTAATGATAAACTTTTATTTTCGAATGCAAATGGATAACATCCAAGCTGTACCATTGAGGATTTCTGCTTAGTCTTTTAGATAGGTTGTTGTGCATTGTTTTGGTGATAAAGATTTTCTTCTTCTTTTTTCTCAGCCAAATATAAATACAAGGGTTTCAAAATGAGTTGTTAAGGGAAACGATAGCTATCAAGACTAAGGCGCTAAAAACATAAATATTATCTCCACTGCAGTGCACCTTAAAAATATAAAATCATATCCGCTTGAAATGTCTTAAAGAGTGAGTGCCCATGCAGGAAAGAAATGATTTATTAAGTATTTGTTCCTCTGTTAAGATTCTAGGAGCGTGTTACTTCTTATCTAAACTTCAACTTACCTTTGCAATGAAATAACAGCCGCTATATCGCCCCAAGTTCTATTTGCACTTCCACGTTCCTGCGAAAGCATACAAAATGCAAAATTACCAAAAGTATAAACAAAAAATTGGACGCAGCGGGAAAACGCGGATGGCCCACTAACCACCGCGCGGTAACAACAACCTAGTGAGCAAAACAGGTGAAATGGGATTGAGATCGTTAAACGTGGCTTCTATAGTGGATCAAAATTGACCCTTAAGTATCCATAACTTCTCCGCTTTATACCTATCCACACATTTTGGCCCAAATTGAACCGTTTTGCCGCATCGAGAGAAACTGACTTCGGTCTTTGTTTGAATATTAACGACTTTCACTGACTTTGTGTGGTATACATAATTTATGATTTCAGGCGGAAAACATCAGGCGTCCAAACGCGCTTAAGTCGCCTATCTATACGGCAATAGCGTTTACCTAATTTCCTCGGCTTTACCTTACACCTTATAGTTTCGTTTTATCATTTCATTGGCGTACCAGGTGCGATATTTACAAAAAAATAATAATTGTAAAAAATAAAAATAAAAATTACAATTTGAACTTTCGCATCATTTTGATGCGTCTGTAATTGAATATCACAATAATTTGTTAATCAAAAGAATATACACGTTTATTTATTCATTCTCTTGCAAATTCACGTCGGAATTATATCTCTGATACCATCTTGAGTTCAAAAGTAAGCGTTCATTCATTACCGGGCTCTTCGACAAATAACTGTGCAATGGTTGTGAATACTTTATTTGATATTTTATGTTTTTACATTGGAATACGAGAGTAAAATAAACAAAACCGAAGCAACACAAGTAAAAAATATTAAATGACAAAAAAAGTACAAAATTTTGTAATATCAACTTAAAGTTCGCAGTCGTAGGCTGTATTATTATATGGAGGAGAGTGTTTTACTGGGAACTAAACCACTCGTAGATTCCATACGCCACTTCATCCGGGACCCGAGTGGCGTATTTTCCGTATGTCACCTTTGTGAGTGTCATATCGTTCAATGACGTCTCGATTCGCGCCTTTTGCTTTTGTTGAAATGGTTTCTCCATATAATAAAAAGAACATTACACGTTGGCTCGAAGATATGAATTTTATGTTCTCGTGGCAAAAACAATATCTCACTCGTTCGCTTCGCTCACTCGTGAGATATTGTTCTTGCCACTCGAACATAAAATTCATATCTTCTCGCCACCGTGTAATATCCTCTATTTATTTTATGTGCAAAAACATGACTTCGTATGGTTCACCAAACTAAGTACGTAATTTCCTTCTTCTACGGCAGCATCGTCGCCGAAAAGAAAACCAATAAGCTTAGACCAACATCGCACGCAAGGGCAATTTTCCTTTGCATACATAAAGAGTCAAAATTTTGTGGAAAATAGCTCCTGTCTCTTTTTTTTGTTGTTGATACAGCAGGTCTTTTCATTCATTCATTTTTTTTTTTCATTCCATGCAGCAATGAGGTGCGTTCTTAGGCAAGGTGCATTTCGTCCCGGTATTTCCTTAGACATCCTTATTTCTCTGTTTTTAAGAAGTGGGAGATAGAATATAAGGGTAACGTCAATTGTCGATTGCGAATAATATGTTCCAATATCTCCGTGGCAAATATATTTACTGATGCACGAGCTTTAAAGCTGCTAGCTAAACTACTTCTACCCTACATTCTCTATTTGTCGCAGCCTCGAGTCAATGCGAGGCTGCGTAAACCACAGACCTCTAAATTGAGTTATCTAATAGATTTTTCATTGCATGTCAATTTCAGAAATTGGAATTAATACTATTTAGTGCCATTTAGACTGTCAACCTGGCATGGTATGAAGGTATTTTTTGAATTTTAAATTTTGATCAATAGAAGATTTCATTTTGTGCTACTCAATATTTCATATTTGTCAGGTGCATATACTGTTGGAAGTTGTGAAGAAATATATTTGCGAATTAATGAAAATCATAGCCAGAAATAGTTATACTTTTTGGGAAAAATTTTTCTTTATATTGTCTGCGCTTAGAATATATAAATTCCTTTACACTTAATCCAGACAAACTTTCGACTGATGAAACGCAACATAAGAAACTTGCAAGGAATTCTTTTGGTAAAATTCGGCCACCTCACAACTAAAATAAAACACAAATTTCTATAAGGTCGAAAAAGGAATTCATAAAAAGAAAGACCTTCTTAGCTATATTGGACTTGCACGTATACTTAATTTTAACTGAAATGCCATTGACAATATTTGTCTCACCTTAAGAGAGTTGTCCTAGATATCTAGCTTCCAATGTACGCTTGACTTCAGCTAATAGTCGCGAGAAAATTCTGATGTAGCACAACTATAAGACCACATTGTAATAATTAATTCAGGTAGCAGGTGCAGTGGAAACCACCCAGGAGCTACTGGGCTGTATTGGTAATTATACAGAGACGTCAGTTCGTCAACAATCACGCTAAGAACGACTGATCTTGAGCCTAACTTGGGCACCTGTCGGATCTATTCGATAACTATCTTATTCGGCTTTCAAAGTGGGAAGCTCTACAAAACCAATTGTTAGTTTAACCTCTTTTCCTGATGACGTGTCATTGTCTAAGACATTTTGGTCACGGAAACTAATTTGTCTTCCGCAGAACTTGTCATTTGCATTTTCTGCTTATATCTATTAAACAGTAATTCAGGAGGGTGAATAATTCCCCTGACAGTACTGCATTCATGAATTAAATGGATACTAACAAAAGACGGTTTATGTTATTCTTCTGTAACTGTTTGACAAAATAAACCATTGCCGACTTGT